GGAAGAGTAAACTGAGTATTAATTCAATAACTCTTTCACTTAAATTCCGAAATAACATTACGCGAAAATACTGGAAATTAAAATACTTAGGATCCGACACTCATATGGTCGCCCCAAGAAGAATTTTTATCGGTACTAGATACAGTTCTCCCCACGAGTAGTTACAAAGGAGAAAATTAATATGAATACCTTTGAGAATGTAGAGCCTCTTAATGTGGTACTTAGTTATGCTAGCCTGAACAGCGTCCATTATTTGAAAGTTGAAATCGTTCATTCATCAATGCTTCTGTGAGCAAGACGGAACGGAATGATAGCCTTGAGAGTAATAAAAGCGTAACGAATAAACTCCCGTCATTAGAAAAGTACACATAAATTATCATTCTCGTTAATTCTGAATTATTATTCATATATAACAATTATTTCATTCAGTCGTAAAAATAGCGTGGATGAAATAGTTTTAGGCAGGTTGTGTGTGTTTACAGTAAAGGAAGATAGTTCAAGTGTTGTGCTGTCGTAACTTTCGCCTTGGCATGTGTTAACTGAGCTGCTGGTGTGACTGACAGCGCGGCATGACGGGATGTAGCCTAGCGTGTCTGCGTTACAAAATCTTGAACTAGTTATGATGCGGCATTCTTCACTTTTCTTTTTCTGCTTGTATGTATGCATGTGTGTGTGTTATGTATGTATGTGTGTGTTATGTATGTATGTAAGTATGGTCAGCGTGCTCGCCTCGCAAGCGAGCGGACCCGGGTTCGATCCCCGGGCAGGGTGAAACTATGGGCAAGTTTCTTTACGCCATTTGCCTGTCTACCCAGCAGTAATTGGGAACCCGGATGTTAATCGATTTGCGGATCGTATTCCGGGGTAATGGTTATCCAGTGCAGTTGGCGAGTTGTCCGGTCTTCTCGGACTATCCCTTGACACTGGGTCCTGCAACTCGTTAATTCAAGGTGCGGTTGTTGTGTTGGCGACAGCTTCTACACCTTACACAAATTCATGCCTAGGTGGCCCTTGGGCCGGCCATACTGTTACACGAGGGGCAACCACTATGTATGTATGTATGTATGTATGTATACATGTTTTATCTACCTCTGAGGATAAATAACTAATACACACAGCGTCGTGTCATAGATCTAATACAAATAACACGGACATTATAATATAAAAAATCCTTTATGAATAAAACATTTTATTATAGGAAGGTATTCGGTAAACGTATGTTGAGTACAGTATTATCGGGCACTGACCATATCGTTTACGTGTTATTATGGTTTACCCCTCCCCCCCCCCTGACTCTTCACCCCCCTCTCTCATTCCACCTCCTCCACCCTCCCTACATCACCACTTCACCTCCATCACCACAACACTCCACAATTCCTCCATGATGAGTGGAGTGAGTGAGGCGAGGCGAGGCGAGTGGTGGAGTATTGTCAAGAATCAAGAGAACCAGTACTCTCTCTCTCTCTCTCTCTCTCTCTCTCTCTCTCTCTCTCTCTCCATTAATGCACTATTACCATATATAAAACATAACTTACACTATGACTCTTCCTGTACGTGTCTTGGTAACTGTGTACACTTGAGTAATACTAAGTAACATAAGGACAATTTTTGTAAGCTAGTTTATAAATAAGTTTATTGTAATTCTTATATAGGTGTGTATAGTGTGTACTTGCATGTGTGTATAATTTAATATTTATGTATGTATCGGCTCACTAGATATTTAAGAGGCAAGAGAGGAGATGTAGGCGTGTTCAGGGGAGGGGAGGGAGTGAGTGAGGACGTCCGGATCACTGAACTTGGCTTTGACCTCCGCTAAGTGTCTAAGGTTACGAGAAAGTGTCGGAGGGTCAGGCCATTACTTCCTGTCGCCTTGTCTCAAGTCTCAACCCAGATATTCAGACACAAAAGATGGTGGTTAAATTACACTTGACTGGATAACTCCGCGACTATAGTGAAATATCTATTTAGCGGACTATAGAGAGGAAATTCCGTTATATCGAGGGTCATTTAGATGTGAATCCTCCATCAAACTAACTGTATAGATTTTAAAGTCCGTTATATCGAGGGTCCGTTAGATTTGAAACCTCTTCTATTTTATAAACTACATAAATATGAAAGTCCGTTATATCGAGGGTCCGTTAGATTATATGGATAGATAAGTCCGTTATATGGAGGTTTCACTGTAAGCAAACCTCTGGATCTTACCTTCACGTTTCAACTCTCACTCCCTCCTCACCTGTAGAAAGTGAGAGAGAGACGAATAGTAGAACGGCTTTTTAAAACACAAATAAAAATAAAATCAAACGGAAAAAAATACATTATGGTATTTTCTATTAACTAGTCAAATAATAGAAATATATTTAAATAGTAAATGACCTTAAATAAATATATATACTTGGATAAAAAAAATAAATAAACACACTCATTATTTCTTTCTACTGTTTTCTATCAGGTAATGAATCAAACACCGAACGCAACAGATAAAAACACTAACCTTCAGCGTTCGTGTTAAGAGTTAAAAAAAAAAAACATCAAACGTGAGAACTTGGGTGATAAAAGAGACAGACAATGGTTTTCACCTTGACAATGAACACAAGGTGACTTAAATTGTTCTCAAGGGGTTAAAATGTCGTACTCAAAGGGGTTAAGACGTCGTACTCAAGGGGTTATAAGACTGCTTGAGTGTTGGGTTATTGAGTACATCCATACGAGTCTTTCTAAACGTGAATATGAGTTTTAAATTTTTTTTTTCTCCACTTCGGCGGCCAAAATCTAGTTCACTGGCCAATCTCGGTTCCCATTTCCCACCATCTGCCATCTGGTCGGGCGGTGATTATTTCTCGTAAGTGAAAGTATAACGAAACGTCCAGGTGGTTGACTTACGGTAAAATATGAGGTTTATATTTTAAGAGTTCCATTATTTTGAGACTTTACTCTAACTAGATATCTTCACTTGACATTACATAGGAGAGAAAATTAACACTGAGACTCTACCTTAACTAGATACCTTCACTTCAACACTAGATAAGAGCCAAATTTAACACCTGAGACTCTACCTGAACCAGATACCTTCACTTCAACACTAGATAAGAGCCAAATTTAACACCTGAGACTCTACCTGAACTAGAAACATTCACTTAACATTACTTAGGACACCAACATAACATAGGAGACCGAATCAATGTTCAGAATCGTTCTAAATATACTGTACAGTAATATTTATCTGATATTAAGTGAACGTATGTAACTAAGGTAGGGTCTCAGTGTAATGTTGATGCCACTAACCATACGAACGTTTGGTATATCTGAACCAAATATTCTTGAAGGTCAGTATTTAATTTCCTACCTGACTGGAGATATTTGATAGTGCATTGAACTGACTCACTCAAGGCATCAGAATTACGCCCCGACTGTGATGTAGCTCAATGTTTTCTCTTTATATCCAGGAAAGAAAAGAATTAAACATTGGAGAGTGTTTAAGTAACCATCATTGTGTCGCAGCTGATGTGCATTTGTTTTGATGGTATGTGACATTGGTCTTAACTTAATCTTTTGAGAAACTGTCTTTGTGTCGTAGCTGGAGTCAGTTAGTTTTGATACGTTCTCACAGTTCCAGTCTGTTACATACGTTCTCACAGTTCCAGTCTGTTACATACGTTCTCACAGTTCCAGTCTGTTACATACGTTCTCACAGTTCCAGTCTGTTACATACGTTCTCGCATTTCCAGTCTGTTACATACGTTCTCACAGTTCCAGTCTGTTTGGCATATGCTCACAGCCCCAGCCTGTTGGCATATGTCTCTCACATTTCCTTGTGCCCTTGTTGGCATACGTTCTCACAGTTCCAGTCTGTTACATACGTTCTCACATTTCCAGTCTGTTACATACGTTCTCACAGTTCCAGTCTGTTACATACGTTCTCACAGTTCCAGTCTGTTACATACGTTCTCACATTTCCATTCTGTTACATACGTTCTCACATTTCCAGTCTGTTACATACGTTCTCACAGTTCCAGTCTGTTACATACGTTCTCACATATCCAGTCTGTTACATACGTTCTCACATATCCAATCAGAATAAAATCAACGTATTAAATGTATGGGAAAATTTTGTTTTAACATCTGTGACGTCGAATTTTGTGAGAGATTTAGATAAAGTTGGAATATTTTTACAGGTGTTCCGGTAAGAAGTGCACAGGTGTAAAGTAAAGAGGAGGAACACCTGGTCTTAGAAAGTGACAAGTAATCGTCTGGCGAAAGTAGGATTTAGGGGGAGGGAGGTTGGTACAAGGTTAGGCTATCACTAGTCATGGTGCAAAATGGTAGCATGCAATTGTTCCTTAATGAGGTCTTGTGTGTGTGTGTTTTGACGCCACCACAACATCATCACCACACCCCATCACCACACCCCATCACCATCACATCACACCATCACATCACAGACAATTGAACTCTTAATAAAAAATTTTCCCCCTTGCGCCATTCATCCATTTTTTTTTATGTTTTGCAATCACGCACACAGAGAACAGGGACATGGTTATTTAATACTGTTATTGATTGTGTTCACACGCAATTGTTCTTTGATGATGTTATTAGTGTTATTTTCACAGGTAATTATGATTTATTTGTGACTTATGTATTGTGATGACTTACTTGTTGTCTTGAGTCGTCACTTCAGTTACGTCTACGTGTACAATGTTGTGTTTACCATGATACGCCACGTTACACCTCAAAGTTGACATGGCAGGGACGATCACGTTATGTTAAAGGTTAGGTTACGTTAGGTTAGGTTAGGTTAGGTTAGGTTAGGTTAGGTTAGGTTAGGTTAGGTTAGGTTAGGTTAGGTTAGGTTAGGTTAAGTTATACGCTGTTAATACGTTTGGGTTAGTGTTAGGTTACATTATATTAGGGTTAAGTTGCGTCTTGTTACTAAATGTTACGATGTGTTATGTATATTCTGTTCTTTGTTCACTAATGTTTTTCCTTTTTGTGTTCTACAGGTGAGTGCAGGTGTGTGGGAGTGTTGCAGCCTTTGGAGAGTATAACGGCTGAACAAGTATGTTAAACGTACAGTGTATAACTAGTATGTTACCTTAAGCCAGGGGAACACACACAGCCTCTCTCACCCAGGAACAAATGAACCCTTTGACAACCAGAAACGTCTTGGTCAACTGTCTACCTCTTGACTGAATATAACGTGGGCTGAATGGACTGACTAATGCTCGGGTCCAGAAGGTGTATTGGACGATGGATGGTGTTGGGTGTTGAACTGGGGACCACGTACTGTACACCGACATCCGGTTGGGCATTGTTTGGTTGTTCTTGGTCGACTTGTTTCGCTGTTTACACCTTGTTTGTTTACCTGTAGTGTTTAGGTACATTGTTTGTATGTCTGTAGTGTCTAGGTACATTGTATACCTGTACTCTCAAGTTTAACATTGTTTGTATACAGTAATTACACGATCTAGGTATATTGTATTGTGTACCTGCATTGTCTACTGTATATATACCTGTAGACTCAAAGTAAACTTGAAGGACGATATTTCCTGAATGAGTGTTTAAGGTCATCAGGAAAAGTTTGTGTGTGTAGAATGCGAGTCATGTGTTGGTAGTGTCTTAACGGGATGTTCTTGAAGAGTAAACACGTCCGGTAGCCCCAACCCTTGACTGAGATGATTCAACCCATGTGTATGTTGAAGGGATTCCCCGGTACTGTACCTGCCAATAGTCCTGTATACCCCTTAAGCTGACAGGTAAAGAGGAGGATAAGTATGTGTGTGTCCCCAGAAGTCAAGTGATGAGGTTTTTAAGGCTGTTGAATGCGGTGGTGATGTTGGGGGTGTTAGTATTGTGGTGGCGTCTTCACGGGTCGTAGCCTGGGGCCCTCCGTGTTCACTTCCTCGCCCTACTTTCTCTCCTCTTTTCTTTCACTTTTATTTCAGATATTTATCGCCAAGAGTTTCAGTGTTGTGGCGAGTAGAGTAAGATCTGGGCGAGCGAGCGGCGACTTTTATTTTACGGAGGGAGGAATCGTATATATTGCTCGTATAGGTTAGGTTATGTTAGATTAGGTTAGGTTAAATCAAGTTTAGTTAAGTTAAATGAAGTTAGATTTGATTAAAGTAATAAGAGAATAGATTACTCCTTAACCACCAGTCCTCAACTTCCACACAACTGACAATATTCCTGAGCTTTAAACACTTAGCAAAACATTAACTTTACCTACTCATTACCGGGGTCATTGTTAACCAAGTGTGCATAGATTAAAACAAATAATAATCTCATTGATAATTAGAAAACAGAAAAAAAGAGTTATCGTAGAGGCGTAAAACATGGGAGGAGGAAGATGATAACAGGTCTAGTCACTTATGAAGGATGTGATCACGCGACGCTTGACACTGTGGGAAGCTGAGGAGAAATGTTCCCAGCAGTGACATTAATACCTTATACTTGATGATGATGATGATGATGATGATGATGATGATGATGATGATGCAATAATAGGAATAGTGATGATGATGATAATAATAATCAAGAAACTCCCAAATTAAAATATTAAATATAACAATAATAAAACGGCAAGGGAGGGAAGAGCTACCTTTAGGAACACCATTTCAGTCCTCATTATAGTTGACGTGGTGGTGTCAGCAGGGAGTTGATCTCTGATACACCCCCCCCACCCCCGGCCCCTCAATCGTGGGTTGATATGTGAAGGAGTAGATGGTAGGGTATAGACAGACCATCAATTTCAATCATGGTTGATGTATAAATGACGAAGAAAAGGATATAGACTTTAAATCAATATCATGGTTGATGTGTTGATGGTTGGATTATACGGCAGATAACCATTTATTTCAATCATGGTTTTATGTGTAGATAGGGTTGAGGGATATAAGGGTGAAGATTGAACACCCAACATCATCATCCATCAACCCTTCCACCTTCACAACCTAGCGGCCGACCTTGACTCACCTGGGTTGACGAGCTTACCTGGTCATGCCTGGCTGCCTTGTGTTGGAACCTTCATCTTTTACCTTGCTGACACGATCTCTTCCGTGGTGTCATATTTTCTTTCTCAATTCCATTTATGTTTATACCTTTTCCCTCTCCTTCCCTTCTACCCCCCCCCTATAACCCCCCTCCCCCTGCTCCACCATAACCTCCCCTTCCTTGCTCCACCATAACCCCCCTTCCCTGCCCACCCTTGCCCCCTTCCACACGTCTCCGCCCTGAAACATTCACTCACGTATGACCTGGTGTTCTTGTGTGGTAAAATCCGGGTTCCTAAGGATTCCAATGCCTATTCTTCACCTTAAAATCCGGATTCATTGATTCGTTCGTACATTTTTACCTCGTCTTTTGTCGTGTGTGAGTGAATTAGTCAGTCAAGGTGTTTTCTAAATAAAGTGAATCAATCAGAAGGGTTTTTCCACCACCTCAGATTAAGATTAAAACAGAAGGTACTGTATACAGGAAGTCGCAGAGAATCCGGAACTTGCACGCGCGTTTGTGTGAGCCCTCCGTAACACACACACACACACACACACACACTCTTCTTGTCCGAGTTTTTTTTTACACCAACACTCACACGGACACTAACGTTAATCACCATACGCTTTCTACATTCCTTTGCTGATGAATTTAGAAATGGCGGTAACTTTTTGGGGGGAGGGTTAGCCAGACGCATATTGTTTTTATTTCGATTTTTTGAAGAGGAATAATCTCTCGTTGCTGAAGACGTGAGAATATATAACAAAAAATTTTAATTAAAATGACATTGCAATTACACTTAAGATTCGACCTTAATTAGATTCGTTCACTTAAAACTAATTAGGAGACAAAATTAACACTTGACTCTTAATTAGATACGTTCACTTAAAACTAATTAGGAGACAAAATTAACACTTAAGACTCTTACCTTAATTAAATACGTTCACTTAATACCAATTGGGAAACAAAATTAACACTGAGACTGTACCTTAACTAGATACGTTCACTTAACACCAGTAAAAGCGCAGTTATCCACAACTAGGAGCTATTTTATATTAGAGATTCGAACCCTCCGAACGTTTGAACCCCGAACTCCGAACCCCGATCCCCTTGAACTCAATTTTATTTTTTTGGATATTTGTATATAATTATCCACAGATTATAATTATTACCTTTATCCTGTTATTCCTCTCCCTCCCATTTCTTTTGTGATAACGTCTCCCTAATTATTCTCGTCCTTCCATTACCCGTGTCTATTAATACCTCTTAATTATCGCTGTCTCTCTCTCTTATTCTTCCTATTCATCCTCCGTGACTCTATTTCCACTCGTTAACGCAGCCGCCCTCTTTGTAATAGTCTACCCTCAAGGATCTTTTCAATTTACGTTTTCTCTTACACAGTTTATTTACATTCTCGGCTTTTCCTCCTCCTCCTCCTCCTTCCTCTCGCTCTCTCTTTAACTTTCCCAGAATTTTCGTTCCCAATTTATATCCGTTTTCATTGTCTTCCTATTTTTTTTGCCCGGCTTTTTTTTTTTTCCTTCCCGTGAATTCGTTTAGAAATTTGTTAGCGCTTCGTGTTACCAGGTGTATAGGCTATGGTGAATTGGCAGGTGTCTGGAGCCTTCATAATTAATGTTAGGATATATTTTCGTATTGACTAACCTAACCAAATACCACCTGGGGATTGGGTTTGGTTAGGTTATGTGAGGTTAAGTTAGTTTAAGTTAACGATTGGTTACTATAGGTTAAGTTCACGTTAGGGTGGTTAATATTCAGGTCAAGTAAGCTGGGATGGGTTAGGTTAGGTTAAGAGTGTACTGTATGTCTGTCGGAGGTACTGAGAGAGAAAGTGTGTTAGTTATTATACATGAACCAGCCTCACCACATACGGCAACAAACCGCAGACGACAAGTAGTGAGTAAAAGGTACACTTTCTTGCCGCACTAAATGGTGGTGTTGGTGACCGCAGTGTGTTCACCATGTTGCTTTCACCGTGAAGCAGAAAACTGACGCCATGGTAGTTATATTCACCAGGTGATTTGATGGTTGGTATTACCTGAAGATTAACGCACCCCCCCCCAGCTTATTTCTACCTGGGGGGGGGCGTAGTGTTAGTGTGTTTAAACAGCTGGTGAAATAAGCTGGGGTCTAATGTTCAGGTAATCCATTTTATCAACATGTAACAATCTATACGTATTTAACGAGATTCATTTATCGAGTTACAAATTCTATTTCTAATTGTTGTTGGGTTTTTATAACATGTTATTGTTCCTCTGTTACAGATGTCTCGTATAGTGTTGGCACTCGCCCTGGTGGCTCTGGTCCGCGGCGACGCTGAAGCCGACCCTGACTACCCAGCAGCGCGTCCCCCAACCAGCTATGGCGCCCCCCCAGCCCCAAGCTATGGCGCCCCCCCAGCTCCAAGCTATGGCCCTCCCCCTGCCCCCAGCTACGGACCTCCCCCTGCCCCCAGCTACGGACCTCCCCCTGCCCCAAGCTACGGACCTCCACCCAAGCCTAAGAACACGTGTCCTAAGAAATGCTACGAAAAGACTGTGTACACCACCATCACTAATACGGCCAAGGAACACCACACCTCCTGGAACACCAAGAACCAGGTACCCCTCCTGCATCCCTATTGGCTAAAGATCCGAACCTTAATCTCTGACATCACACAACTTGCTTCCCTATTGGTTGAATATTCCAGCTTCTAATTATGACTGTACTTGCTCAGCCTCCCCATTGGTTAAAATCATTTGACGTCACTTCATCTACCTCTTTATTGGCTAAAAATTCCAGCTTCTTATAACGTCACTCAGTCTCCCCATTGGCTAAAAATCTGAACTTGTAGCTATGACATCACACATCCAGCCTCCCTATTAACCAATCGCCATAACTTGTATAGATAACATTAATCAAAAGGTTATAACTACACCATTAACCTCCCTGTGTTGTTAATGACCACAGTTACTGATGCCCCGCGAGATAAATATGCCTTTGTATTTTGTTTGTCTGTTTAATGGAAGTAAATAAGTATCTCTCTCTCTATCTCTCTCTCTCTCTCTCTCTCTCTCTCTCTCACTCACTCTCTCACCTCTTCTACAGTACGTGCCTACAACCCTCTACAAGTACATGACGGAGACGCTCTACTACCCTACCACCGTCGTCCAGTACGAGTTCGTGACCCAACCTCTACCAGACCAAGTGATTTACGAGACCAAGGTGAGTCATAGGTCACGGTCGGGGATCAACTGCTGCCTCGTTCGTTAGCCTTTCTATGACTAAGGTGATTCATAGGTCACGTTCAGGAGGGGAGGGGGTCGATTGAGGTAGTTGACCCCCTCTCTTTGTTTACTATTATCTTGGTGGTATTGTTGGGTCATTATGAATCATCTTAGTTTATCATTGTATGTCTCACTCCCCCTTTTCCATGTGTCACTACCTCTCCTAACACGTATGTATCGCCCTCCTAACGCGTATGTATCACCCTCCTAACGTATATACCCCCTAACGCGTATGTATCACCCTCCTAACACGTAAGTATCCCCTCCTAACACCTACATGTCCCCCCAGGTGGCGTACAACACGGACAGGATCGAGGAAGCTCACATCACGACGGTGCAGGAGATGATGCCCGGTACCCACTACTACATGAAGACGCTGACGGAGAGCAACTACTGTACTAACACTGTCCAGGTGAGTCTCGTCTCTCTCTCTACCTGTTGTCCCATACCTGTTCTCTTATCTCTCTACCTGTTCTATCTGTTCTCTCTGTTCTCTCTACTTGTTATTCCTATGTGTTTATACCAGTTCTCCCTATCTGTGTTCTCTATCTGTTCTCTCTATCTCTTTACCTGTTCTCCCTACCTGTCTGTCTCCTTACCTGTTCTACCTGTTATGTCCCCCCTCCTCTCTCCGTCTTCCCCCCCTCCCTCACGCCTTCCTTCCCCCCCCCCCCCCCACGTCTTCCCTCCTCCCCACGTCTTCCTCCTCCCCCATCTTCCCTCCTCCCCACGTCTTCCCTCCTCCCCACGTCTTCCCCCTCCCCACGTCTTCCCTCCTCCCCCACGCCTTCTAATCCCTCCCTCCTTCAACAGGTTCCTTATTACGTAACGGTGACGGAACACGTGTACAAGACAGTCCAGGAACCCCATTACGTCACGGAGACCAAGTGGAACATAACTACGTCACCGTGACGGAAGATGAACCTCACTACGTCACCAAGACCGACCTCAAGACCGAACAGCAACACATGTACGTGACGGTAACAGAGACCAAACACGGCTACCACACCATCACCCAGACCAAGACCGAGCCGCATTATACCACCGTGTGTAACTACGGCAGCGGTGGTTACTGTTCCTCCTCCTAACAACGTATGGTACCCACCCCTCCCCAAGAAGACCACCATCACACCTGCATATATTAGTGAGTATTGTGAGTTGTTGGGGGGAGTATTGTTGATGGTGTGGTTAGTTCAGGTGTTAGGCAGGTAAGTGTGTGTGGTGTTAGGCAGGTAAGTGTGTGTGGTGTTAGGCGAGTGTGTGTGGTGTTAGGCAGGTAAGTGTGTGGTGTTAGGCAGGTAAGTGTGTGTGTGGTGTTAGGCAGGTAGTGTTTGTGGTGTTAGGCAGGTAAGTGTGTGTGGTGTTAGGCAGGTAAGTGTGTGTGGTGTTAGGCAGGTAAGTGTGTGTGGTGAGGCAGGTAAGTGTGTGGTGTTAGGCAGTGTGTGTGGTGTTAGGCAGGTAGTGTTTGTGGTGTTAGGCAGGTAAGTGTGTGTGGTGTTAGGCAGGTAAGTGTTTGTGGTGTTAGGCAGGTAGTGTGTGTGGTGTTAGGCAGGTAGTGTGTGTGGTGTTAGGCAGGAAGTGTGTGGTGTTAGGCAGGTAAGTGTTTGTGGTGTTAGGCAGGTAAGTGTGGTGTTGGCGGTAAGTGTTGTGGTGTTAGGCGGGTGTGTAGGCGTGTGGTGTTAGGCAGGTAAGGTGTGTGTGGTGTTAGGCAGGTAAGTGTTTGTGGTGTTAGGCAGGTAAGTTGGTGTAGGCAGGTAAGTACAAGTGTGGTGTGGTGTTGGCAGGTGAAGTGTTTGTGGTGTGGCGGGTAGTGTGTGTGGTGTTAGGCAGAAGTGATGTGGTGTTAGGCGGGTAGGTGTGTGGGTGTTAGGCAGGTGGGGTGTGTGTGGTGTTGGGCGGGTAGTGTGTGTGGTGTTAGGCAGGTGGGGTGTGTGTGTTAGGCAGGTGAGGTGTGTGTGGTGTTAGGCAGGTAAGTGTGTGGTGTTAGGCAGGGTGTGTGGTGTAGGCAGGTAGTGTGTGTGGTGTTAGGCGGGTAAGTGTGTGTGTGGTGTTAGGCAGGTAAGTGTGTGTGGTGTAGGCAGGGAGGTGTGTGTGGTGAGGCGGTGAGTGTTGTGGTGTTAGGCAGGTAAGTGTGTGTGGTGTTAGGCGGAAGTGGTGTGTGGTGTTAGGCAGGTAAGTGTGTGTGGTGTTAGGCAGGTGTGTTGTGGTGTAGGCAGGTAAGTGTGTGTGGTGTTGCGGAGACAGTGTGGTGTGGTGTTAGGCAGGTGGAGTGTGTGTGGTGTTAGGCAGGTAAGTGTTTGTGGTGTTAGGCGGTGGTGTGTGGTGTTAGGCAGGTAAGTGTGTGTGGTGTTGGGCAGAGTAGGGGTGTGTGGTGTTAGGCAGGTAAGTGTTGTGGTGTTAGGCAGGTAAGGAGTGTGTGTGGTGTGACAGGTAAGTGTGTGTGGTGTTGGGCAGGTAAGTGTGTGTGGTGTTGGGCGGGTAAGTGTGTGTGTTAGGCAGGTAAGTGTGTGTGGTGTTGGGCAGGTAAGTGTGTGTGGTGTGGGCAGGTGGGTGTGTGTGGTGTTAGGCAGGTAGTGTGTGTGGTGTTGGAAGGTGTAGTGTGGTGTGGTGTTAGGCAGGAGTGTGTGGTTTAGGCGGGTAAGTTGGTGTTAGGCAGGTGGGTGTGTGGTGGTGTTAGGCGGGTAGAGTGTGTGGTGTTAGCGGGTAAGTGTGTGTGGTGTTAGGCGGAGTGGGGTGTGTGTGGTGTTGGGCAGGTAGGTGTGTGTGGTGTTAGGCAGGTAAGTGTTGTGGTGTTAGGCGGAGTGTGTGTGTGTGGTGTTAGGCAGGTAAGTGTGTGTGGTGTTAGGCAGGTAGTGGTGTGTGTGGTGTTAGGCAGGTAGTGTGTGTGGTGTGGCAGGTAAGTGTGTGTGGTGTTAGGCAGGTAAGTGTGTGGTGTTAGGCAGGTAAGTGTGTGTGGTGTTAGGCGGGTAAGTGTGTGTGGTGTTGGGCAGGTGGTGTGTGTGGTGTTAGGCGGTGGGTGTTGTGGTGTTGGTAGTGTTGTGGTGCGGTGTGTGTGTTGTGGTGTTGGCGGTGTGTGTGTGTTACGGTAAGTGTGTTGGTGTTGGCGGTAGTGTGTGTGGGGAGTGTTGTGGTGTTGGGCGGAAGTGTGTGTGGTGTTGGCGGTAGTGTGTGTGGTGTTGGCGGTGGTGTGGTTGGGGGTGTGTGTGGTGTTGGCAGGAGTGTGTGTGGTGTTGGATTGTGTGTGCAGGTGTGTGTGTGGTGTTAGGCAGGTAAGTGTGTGTGGTGTTAGGCAGGTAAGCATGCGAGTTCTTTGTTACAGTGTAGTTAGTTGTTTGTGGTATAATTATGTAATAAGTTATTTAGTGAGTTATTGATGTGATTATGTAGTTAGCGAGTTGTTAGTGATAATTACTTAGCGAGATGTTGGTAAATAATATATCCCAAATTTGTCATTAGCTAGTTAATATTAATTTATAAATCGCTTCTAGTAATTATGTTGAGAAATTAGTAGTTAGGAGTTATTTAATGAAGACATAGTTAATACTGTAGATATATTACCTGTTAGTATTATGATTGTTTGGGGTTATGTAGTTAATATGTAGGATTGTGTTTTGTGAGTACTGTAGTTAGCTGAGATGATAGAGGTTTTGATCCCTTGTACACCATCACCCCCTTGTACACCACCACCCCCTTGTACACCAACCACCACCTTATACACCAACCACCACCTTATACACCATCACTAACCACCAACCACCACCCCCTTGTACACCATCACCACCCCCTTGTAGTACACAGTCACCACCACCTCCGCCTTGTACACCACCAATACCTATGTAGTACGTCCTTCACCCTGTCCGTCTTGTGTGGTGCTCTTGGTGTGCGTTTTTCATGTACAACTTTTCATTACACACACACACACACACACACACGTACGTACACGTTACCGCCGCTAGTTAGGAGCATGAGGCGCCTGGAGCTGTTCTGATAACTAATAATAACTACTTCAGACTTAAGCATCATACGCAGCGAACAAACCTCCGAATCTGTCACTTTTACTACAAAATATTTAATGAAAATAAAATCGTCGACTCACTCCGTTTACTACGAATTAAACTCACTGAAAAATCTGGCCACACCCGTGTTCGACTCGAAATCATTCATGTAAAAATTAGCCCGAGTCACGTTTGTTTACGATGATGATGTCTGGCTTAGGTCACTTTTCTTTTCCCTTTTCACTTGGTTGTAGATATGCATTACAAGCAGTTTTGACAAGTGGCGGAGGTCGAGTGGGTGTGGAACGGGGTAGTCGTGCTCGCCTTTTCTGTCTCTCTCCTCATCAGACAGAAGTGAGGTTAAACAGACCATAGGTAATAAGCAACAACCTTTCTTACCAGAATCTTGTTAACAAACCTAGCGTGACCGTAACTTCGAGGAGTAAACAAACAGCTGATCTTTCCCGCGCTTTTTTGTTGTCCGTCTTGCGTAAATAAACCACACTTGGCCTTGAACTCCATTAGACATACTTGTATTTCGACACGAGGAGGAGGTGTGTGATGCAACAGCTGATCGTTCGCGCGTGTAAACAAACCTCACGTTGCCATGACCCTGAATAATGGAACTCGTAATGACTCTTCAACAAAGCTTACACGGGAATGAAACCTATTTTGAATTTAGAGCAGAATAAGGTGTGTGAGAAACGCCTTAAGGACCTGTAAAATTAACATTGGAGTTTTAGGAAAGCATTCCATATGGTGTACCGAGCACACACACACACACACACACACTAAGGATGAGTAGGAACTTTAAACGCGGAAGTTAAATTGATTTCCTGACGTCATTCAGTTTATGAGGTCATTTATTTTATGACGTTACTAGTCACACTGTGGTAATAACTCATCTCTTGCTAACTGATCCGTGAGACAGACATATATGTTGCCTCTCATCACTTTATCGACTCGCTCGGTAAACGTAACTACGTAATAAACTAGATGTAACAGAGGGCGTGACGTGACTGGTGATATAGGTCGTCACGCGCGCCATACTCGATTAGTTACGGCGTGTTATGATTTATTGCTGATCGTTGTGTCGACAGTAACAACCACTACACGGGGTGATTAACGAATTATATATAACGTCATGTGGTGGTTTCTCAAAGTAAGTTTATATTTTGGAATGGATTTCGTTTTTGGACGGTATATGTTGGACACAGTTTGGGAAGCGATACACTATGCCACTATGATGCAGTAACCAGTGATGCCAACCTCCCCTGACTGTCCCAACAGATTGTATACATGAGATTGAGCCTTGGGTACAGCTACCTATGGAGAGTACATTGTAAACCCTGAGCCTGTCCCATGACCAACACTTGACAAACCTAAAAAAAATATCTGAAATCTTGAATAATCTTCTTTTAACATTATTATTTGTTCGTCTCTCAAAATCTCTATTTACCTGAGCTTGGATACTGCCGCCCGTCACACACCATTACCTGTTGCCCCTCACTGCTCACGTCTAACTTGCATCCTCAATACTTTCACTGATACTCTGACGATGACTAACAGCTCTCGGTGGTTACGGTAATACCAACAGGATTACAGATAAATATATAGCCTAGGCATCTAATTTTAACGGATTATGTATATATAGTTTTAGCAGGATTAAGTAGCATTGGTTATATGATTCGAACAAGCTTGTCTACATACGAGTTTGGTTTTAAAGCTTTTTTTATATACGAATTTAATTTTAAGCAAAAACGGCTCTAACCGCCGCTCTCTCTCTTTTACAGATCGCACACCGTCTACGGTTAACTAACTTTAAGCTTTAGATACTTCTCTTAGTTTATATTCCTCAGTATTTACACAAGTGATATCAAATTATAGGGCGGCAACCCTATATTTGTATTATGTTTTATTGTTGTATTGTTGACTGTTAGGTCAGTCTCCCGCGGGCGGCGGACTTACAGCAGATGTCGGGCTTAAAAGACGTCTGTAAAACAAAGGTTATTTTTATAAGACTGTGACATTAATGGGCTAATGTCACACCATATCAACAAATGTCAATATTTTTAGAAGTCTGTGTCATTGCTGGTCTAATGTCACTCCATATCAATGTGTCTATATGTTTGTTTTATAAGACTGTGTCATTACCAGGATAATGTCACTACTTGTATCTACAAATGTCAATGTTAACTTTCATATTAGTTTGTCGTCGACTCAACTGTGGGCAGTCTTTTTTTTTTTATCTCTCGCTCAACTATATTTTGTAATATATTTCACATATTGCCTACTGTTGACTCGGACGCCCCACCTACACGTATAAGTTCACAATTTTAGTTTATTAGATAAATGTTATAGTCCATTATGACGTAGCACACTATTGTTACCCCCAACCTCCTCCCTCCGTTAACCATTGTTCTCACCTGTAGTGTTTACGTCTCACGCCACCTACTTGTGTATATCTACAAGTCTTTCAGGATAATGTGTTTACCCTTAAGGACCATTATATGTATATTCCATCCGAGAAATAAAAGTGTTTTTTTTTTAATGGTGTTTTCGTTTGATATTTTTTCCTCACGACTTCATATATTATAGATTCTTAAGATCAACAAACTAGGTACTGTACAGCAGTTGGCCAGGGGCCGGATACTCGCCTTGAACACCTTTCTCTATCACCAGTATGGTTTTTCACAGGCGAGATCTACTGGTGATCTGCTCTCCTACTGCACCCATCTTTGGTCATCCTCTTAGGGATTGCAGGGAAACTTTCGTCGTTGCCCTCGACATCTCCAAAGCATTTGACAGGGTATGGGCAAGTCTTTGCTTTCTAAACTATCCTCTTATGGTTTCTCTCCCCCACTTTTTCTAATCTCTAGGTCCCTTGAGAACCGATCCATGGCAGTTGTTGTCGAGGGATCGACCTCTCGCTCTTTCTCAACCAATAGTGGTATCCCACAGGGTTCTGTTTTTCACCTACTCTCTTCCTTCTTTTTATCAATGATTTACTTCACACTACGACTAATTCTATCCATTCCTACGCTGATGATTCCACTATTCACTCTTCTTTACATCCCCCGCTCCTCAATTCTCAAACTAGATCTGTTTCTAGAGCTGATATCATTACATCTATCAGTGCGCACCACTCGTGCTTCAGAATTCAAATTTGGCGCCACTGATCAAGCCGATTTGTTTACATATCTTGCCCAGGCCTACCAACCCTCCCGAGTTGCGGCAGTGTGGTTACTAAATGGTAACCCAAATGGAATGTACAATTTGCTAATGGAGTTTGACGAATCCATCTGTCAGGTTACTAAAACCTAACCCGACATTTGGAATTGCTCTTCGGACTTGCTGGCCAGAATATTAAAAACAAAAAAATGCCGATACTATCCTCTTTTCTCGTCAGTATTTATTTTCTTTAAGTTATGTATGCCCCTGTGTGTCTTCCTGCTGGCTACACTTAGTTTTATTTTCTTCACTTGTGCAGGTAAGAGTTATTAATTTTTAGGTGGTGTATATTGTCGCGGGCGATGGTGTGTGAGATGACTACTCCTCCCACACTGTGTCAACCTCCGTGGTAGTCAAGAGCTGCCCCATACTGTGTCAACCTCCGTGGTAGTCAAGAGCTGCCCCACACTGTGTCAACCTCCGTGGTAGTCAAGAGCTGCCCGCCATATCTTATCACTTTCCTTCCTCACACCTCAACACAATCCACATTTTTCATCCTCCTCCATTCTCCCTTTTTATCCACTCTACGTCTCTTGGTGATGAAGATGGTAGCATAGTTTGCGATAGTGGTGGTGGTTGTAGTATAAATCGTGATGGTGGTAGTAGTTGTAGTATAGTGATGATGGTAGTTGTAGTTAAACTGATGGTGGCGAGTGTTGTAGAGCCACGTAGATGGTGGTGGTGTGTAAATGTAGGAAAGAAAAAATATAGTGGAGAGGAGGAACTAAGGAAGAAATAGAAAGAATGGGAGCAAGAAGAGTATAAGTAGGAGAGAAGAAGGATCCAGAAGGATAGAGAGGCGAAGGTAGAAGATTAAGAAGGTTTAGGTCAGGTTAGGTGTACAGTTAAACCCATGACAAAGGAGAGGGGGGGGGGAAGCCTCACTCTTCCAGGGGCTCCCGCGCTCTCCTGGTTTAAGTAATAAGTTCAAAATGCAACACACAAACGGCAGCTGTGTTTCTGTTAACGGGAACAGGACAGGAAGGATGGCTCCTATTTCATCGAAGCTACAATCCTAATATAACAGGATGACATGCTATTAAACATCTTGGGTTTGTATAAGATCACGCGTAAATGAAAGGAAAAACAGACAAGGAATCATAGCTGCTGAATCGGACAATACTCTGGTGAAAAGAAATAAAAATGTTTGGTTATTATTGGATTGACTTCATATCACACTGACTACTGAATACATTGCCTGTTGTATGGCAGAACCTTGTGAAGGGGACAAGTCTGAAAATCTATATAATACTACATGTGTCACTTGCTAAGCTACACTGAGTGACTTATTATTGCTGGCTATAATCTCTTAATTTCACAGCTGCCTTTACGCTCATATCACTCTGACTAAATTGTCTTATGTGTGTATTAAGAACCTAACACGGGGAGATCTGAACATCCATAATGCGTGGGAAGTAACACACCCCTCTATAGGCTAATCAAAATGACTTTATTATTCCTGGACATATCTTAATTTGTTTCATACAAGGATACAGGCTTCTCAGTATCCTCGACAGAAAACTTCTTTTTTTTTTACCCTCGTGGCATTTTGCTGGGTGAGGTGAGCAAACACAGGGATAGTGAGTGTACATTTAATTTCAATATGATCTATTTTTGGCGCTACCGTGTGAATGGAATCCTAGCTTTATACAATAACAAAGGGACATACTAACATAACAATTTGGACTCCTAATTCTTGTTCGTAAATGTCGCTGCATAAAAAAAAATCCCCAGTAATTGTTTGATGCCTTACTGGGACATTAAGCGACTACATCATGTGAAGACAATTGGCAGTTGGGAGGGACCTGCACGAGGCTATGGGCCAGTCCATCCTAAGGATTACTACTGCCTACTTTATTAATCTATTAATGATCTGGAAACGACAGCACATGTAGACGACCCAATAAATAAAAAAACAGACATTACAAGATCATGTTGGTGTTATTAATGTGTCCCATGGCCCTGCATTAGAGGTGAACCTTATGTCTACCAGTAGGGAACTCTTACTGATTAAAGTGTGAAGTATTAGTTCTTATATATATATTGTTACGAACCACGCCATCTATTGTCCTGATCTACCTACCCAGCACCACGAGCAACGCCATCTAGGGACGAAACCCGAGTATGACTAGTCTTAGTTACCACTCCGGGGTTTCCCTTCTCCATATCCTGGTTGTTGCGTCACCTCCTACAAGTCTTCTTCGTCAGCTCCAGTTCGAGGAGAGTTCAGTTCACTCTGGGAAGTGACCACAGGATCACCTATCCTGGAAACCTACGTCACAGTGATTACCTACCGTTTTCTACAATACTCAGCCTTACTCGTCAGCCATCTCAGCTCCGCACTTAAGTATTTGTAATCTTATATTGCCTTCCCCACGTCCACTTGCTTCAAAATTGTTTTATGTTGTATAAATATGTATATACTGTTAATGTTTAGGTTAAGTATGGTTAAGGGTAAATTATAGAAAGCTGAATATTTTGTTAAGGAATTCATGGTACTTTATTATACACAACAAAAACTCGCATCCTTTGTCTACCCTTTTATAGTCCGATTGTCTTTGTTTTTTTATTGTTGTTGCCTGTTGGGATCTGGGTAGACTTTTAACTATATTCTAAATCCCCAACTCGTAACACTACACAAAAACGCCTAAGTACAATACTGTATTAAAGAAAAGGTATTGGAATTTTTTTATGAAAAGAGGGGGGAGGGGGATCCGGACTCCCAGAAACCCCCTTGGATCCGCCCCTGACCGCCGCCCTTGCTAGCTTCGACCAAGCACCCACACAGTGACCCATCACTACCACACTGACATCACCTGAATACATGACTATCAATAGATAGTTATACAGTGTAATTTATGAGTTTAATTTTAAATTGGGAAACCGGCAAGCATAGTATACAGATCGTAAGAGGCGTTATATATAAATGGGGATCGTGGTAGACCTGTACTGTGGAGTGTGGTGTGGTGCTGTGGTCGTGGCAGTGGTAGGGTTCATCTTCACAGGTGTGCTCAGAGTCTGAAATATCAAAACAGGATTGAGGAGGATTACTCATTTAACACGAAAGTATGGTGGTGGGGTAACACTCACAGTTTTACCCTGGGGCAGAGATCCCCTCCAACCCCCGTCTCCTGACGTCCAGCACTCGAACTTGTCCACCAATCAGCTCCATCGTTACAAAACTACTACCCATTCATTCATAAATTTAGCATTGCGACTCTGCCACATTAAGTAAACAACACCACCGGGGTTAAAGAAACTCTTGTGAGGCAACTGTACACCCGAACCATGTTGACGCTACGGATATTTACAACCACAGCGCCCCTTGCAACTACAGTACGCAGATGCAACAAGGATTGCTGGTATTGGTGAAACTGTGATCAACAGTGATTTGACTTTATCATCTGACACCCAATCAAACTTGAATGGGTCTGGAAAGACAGGTTGTGGATGATCAGCCTTGACCCACATGCATGATTGTAAGATATTGTAGCTTTCTTTACATGGTGGACAAATGTGTCTTCAGTGGGTGGCAGGCTCCAAACGTCCACTGACATTCAGGTTTGCCCTGGGTAACACTGATGACTTATTTAATGGTTTCAGTTGTTATATCTGACTGACTTTAAAGCTCCTGACATTCTTGAATTCTTGTACAATATCAGGAGTCGCTGTGCCATTTAGAAATTTGTTCCCCTTTCATATAAATGTAGTTCGTTGTGTGACATCCACTTAGAACATGATCTAACTTATCAAACATAATATAAGATGCTGTACAAACTGCCGCTGCCATCCAAGATAAGACACCACAACAAACGTGACAAAAAGAAAGAAAGAACCTACCTAGATACTTTGTCTTCCCACTCCCAGCCAACTATGTTATCTCCTCAACTCCGTCAGTCATGCTGTCCCTCGCAATATGGTTTTAATATTAGACACAAATTGGTAGAGTTATCCACTAAATCTTGACTCACTGTCACAGAAAACGAATGCATTTTTACATTAAAAAAAATTGTAAATATTTCACGCTTAAACAGGAAGTACATACTGTACTTTGATATCTGGTACCAATGAAAGCAACTTTCTCAAAGTACTGTAGCATGGTGTAATTTTACGTTTTTTTTGTGGACGTGAGAGTACCGGTAAGTAATTAATTTTTTTGTGCATACAAAGCACGTACAGATCATCATTTTAGTGTAATATGATCAGTGTTCCATCGGTTTTTACCCAGCAATTTCCCTCATCCTTCCTACCCTGCCCACTACGGGTGATTTATGATCGTAGGTGAATAATAATAAAAGAACAAACATTATTAATAAAAAAATCTGTCGTATATTTTTATCACTTACTATCATCCACAGAACACGTGGAAAAAATTAACGTATTACCACAGGTTGTTCCAAGAGTTCACAAATTTCACTTCAAATAAAGCTTACCCTGTGGATTCAACTTAAAAGCTGTAACCTTAGTGGGTATCTAAGGTGCCGTAATGCAGGCACCAATCTTGTGGCCCTCTTTTAGACATTTTCAATCGACTGACAGTCTCTAGCTTATCTCGACGACCAGACGGCGTGACAATACTCCAAACGGGGAGCACTTCACCTTTAAAGAGTGTTGTGATAATGAAGGACGGGCCATTTAGATTTATGAACACCATCACTTTTATCCTCTTCACCACTGATCGGCTCGTTAGCCGCTTGGGCGATCGGTCACATCTCTGTCACGCACTGTCGGCAAGTACTAGCCATGTACTGGCTCTCTGTTACGCACTGTTGGCAGGTATTGGGCATGCACCGGCTCCTGAATGTACCTGAACCTGCTCCAGTGTTGGTCAAGTCTGGTCTTGAATGAACTCAAACTCGGTGCCGTCACAACACTTTCTGGCAGATTGTTCCAAGAGTTTACAACTCTCACTCCGAAAAAGTTTACCCTCACAGTTTTCTGGACTTGCGGCTTCTTCAATCTTGAGCTGTGACCCCTTGTGGGGCGAGCGTCCGCCAGCTCGAAGTAAGGACACTCGACTGAGTAGTACCCCTTGAGATGCTCATACACCTCAATTAGGTCGCCCCTTGCCCGTCTGTAGTATAAGCTAGGCAAGTTCAGGCGCTCCAATCTCTCAGGGTAGTTGAGGTGCCGAAGTGCAGGCACCAGTCTGGTGGCCCTCCCTTGAACATTTTCAACCAAGGAATGCACTCTATAAGGTACGGGCCAGGCCAGGCCAGGCTTCTAAACTTTTATATTATATAAATTTGTTCTAATAGACTCCTCTGAGAACTCAATATGGCTAAGTTATTTTCATCCTACCTTGTAAGCGCAAATTGAGAGAACTGGGGCTCCATAATTATCTTGAGAAAAGGTTCAAGGGATCACCCTGAACGAGGTGGATGACTGGTATAATAGGCTGCTAGACGTCGTAGAAAAATCTGTTCTAAATTTGATTGACATTTCTTTACTTTACTTTATCCTCTTCGCCACTGATCGGCTCGCTAGCCATTTGGGCGGTCGGTCACGTCACTTTCACACTGTTGGCATATTTGGAAATTGTCAAACAATGGTATCTGCCGCAAAGATACAATCAAGATATTTACCTCACTAATTATAATTCAGTGGCGAAGAGGATAAAAGTAGTTGTTCTGAGTCCTGTACATTAGTCACCGCTGCTGTCCTGGGTGTTTTACGTTTTCTTTCATGACAGAGTACAATATCCAATGACCATATATGTAAAGTATTAAGTTGTTCTTAACACATGGTACTAATATCTATTATTAGAATATAATAAAATATCGTAATATTAATCGTTATTTACAAATGAAACTTAAACATGTAATTTTGACTTTTATATTGTGAAAATTTTCAACAATGAAAAATGAGAAAACATTTTTCTTTGAGGCATTTCCATTAATGCTCGTATATGTATTAAGATATGTTAATTTTATTAATTTACACAGGTATATGTATATGTTTTAAGAAATATAACATGAAATAGTGAAAAAGTAATTCAGTGTAAACAAATATTCATCATGGCTTCCAGCAAAGGCTCCGGGCCGCAAGTAATTGACATTTCCAAGCTAAATTTGGAGCAATTGACGGCATTAAAAAATCAACTTGACCAGGTAAGATATCAGTTCGGTGCTGTGGAGGATGTAAATGGTAATTAATAGCATAATCATTTAATTTGGAGATGATATGAGTCACTCCTGGTTGGACACATGTTCATGGGCGGTGACAAGTGACTCGCGTGTTATTGATCATCATATAAATGTTGTCAAAGGTGTCAGTGTTGAATGATGTTCTTATTATCCCCAAACTTCTTAATTCAATTTTGTCTTGTTACTTTAAGGACATTGGGTGAGTCACTGAATCAATACCACATACCTTAGGTGGTGACCCTGCCTTAGTGATGGTGGAGGCAGCTGAGGGAGGCAGTCATTTATGTCTGAGAACAGCACTACCTATACCACCAGAAGGAGTTGTTTGATTTCGTTAATTTTGTCCACAGATGTTCTTTGGGTGATAATACTTGTAAGTAATAAAAGCACAGTGGATATTATGCCATGACCGGCTAAGTTCCTAGTAACGCTATTTTACCGTGAGTGTGCTCTGATTGGCTAATCGTCCATTACCAGTGAACAAAATGACCAAATATCTACTGCATTTATTTTTTCTGGAGATGTTGCTTGGATGATAATGGGAAAATAGAAATGACAATGCACAGGTTAGGAAGTTTCTATAGGTTCTGTGCTTTGTTGTTTTGATTTGATTCACCAAACAGAGCACTCACAGTAAAATTGCATTAGTAGGAACTTAGCCGGTCACGGCAAAATATACACTGCCTAATAAAAATGATACGACAATGCATAGAACATGACCTAACCAACCAAAGAAACCTACCTAACCTTACCTAACTTCCTAGCTGGAGGGCGGACCCCCGTCATATTAAACAGAAAGTACTTATTTTGATATCTGGTACCAATGAAAACAACTTTGTTGAAGCGTCATGGTGTAATCTTATGTGGATGTGAGAGTACGCTCCGACTGAGCAGGTCGTAGAGTGAAGGTCGGTATGATAGAGGTGTGTAAATGGAAGTCAGGGCTAAACAAGGGTGACATTACAAAGGTACTCAAACTATCCAACCAGGAGCGAACTCATAACAAAGGTTTTAAATTAGACAAATTTAGATTTAAGCATGAAATAGGTAAACATTGGTTTGGAAATAGAGTAGCGGAAGAGTGGAACAAGTTATCAAATATCATCATTAACTCGAATACGCTGGATAGCTTCAAACATAGGTTGGATGGATATATGAGCAATAGGGGTTCGGTGTAAATGGGACTGCCGAGTATGGGCCAATAGGCCTGCTGCAGTTTCCTCCATTCTTATGTTCAAACAGACAACACGCAGTGACCCGGCAGATTTTTGGAGGAGTATTTATGGTAATTAATTTCTTCACATACAAAGCACATGACATTAATTTAGGTTTATATGATCAGTTTTCACCATGTTTTACCCAGCAATTTCCCTCATCCTTTATGCCTTCCCCACTACAGGTCATTAATGATAGATAGAGAAAAACTAAAAAATACAAATACTTATAAGTAAAATAAATAGTTGTTGTCTCTTTTAAAGTACCTAATATAATGATAGGAACACCTAGAAAAAATTAACAAAATCAAACAACTCCTTCTGGTGATACTGGTGTTCTCAGAAATTATCCAGACTGCTAACACCAGAATGCATTGTTTGATTTCGTTAATTTTTTTCACAGGCATGCGACCTGAGGTTAAGTTAAGTTAGGATTTCTTTCTTTTTCCTTTTTTTTTCTATGTACTATATGCAGCTTGCAACCCCATTTCTGGTCGTGGCCTCATTTTTCGGAACAGCTTTACCTAAAATACTATCCTGTACAGTACTTTCATCCTCGGATAGGTAAGTCAGGTACCAGTAGGTTTTATTGATTACCTTACTTTATGAGCAAATTGTATACTGTACAGGTAATGTAAACAAGTCAACAAGGTGTCACTGGGAGTTTGTGTGTCGATGTTCAGGATGAAACAATCTCTAAATTAAATTAACGAAAGTTGTAATCCACTTCTTTCTTGGGATATTGTAGAGGTTAGAAAGAAGTTTTCTGCTATAGAAAATAATTCTAAAGTTGCTGATTAACACAAATTGGTGTTCCAGAGTACAGTATTACCAAAACTATGTCGTGAAATTCACAAACTAATTCATATAACACAAAAAACTAAAAGACTTTCTGTATATGTACTGTTTTTCTTGTGATATCTTTTTGTTCTTTGGTATTTACAGTTAATATACAGAGCTTTTACCACAAAAAATTTTTCCAGACAGAATTAATATACAGTACCTCCTTTTGTGTAGCGGAAACACGTTAAAAACATTATTAGAAAGAAAAAATCATTAGAAGATCAGCCATTTTCTGTACAGGTACTACCTAAACTCATGGGATGGAGAAATATTTTTGGAGTGTTAGACATCTGGTGTGACTAACATTAATGTCTTATGGGCAGTAAGGAAAGACAACTGAAAATGAAACAGCTTTGCTTTAAGTTATCACTTGATTTACTAAATCAAAAAATACTTTCTCAGTCTACAGTAGAGTACTGTACGCACAGTAACCCCGTGTTTTTCGCGGGAATTACATTCCTGAAACCCCCGCGAAAAGCCAAAACCGCGAATACTCTTTTAGGAATCACTGTACCTGTGGCCACCAAACAGCTCAGGTAGGTCACGCACTTAACCACGCCATGCTCTCCACTCACGGCCCAGTGGTCACACTGATCACTGATGCACTGTACCGGCATTTACTTACATCATTATTTGAAACTACTGTAATCATATTGTAGTATAATAATGGAAAAACGTAAACACAGTTATATACAAAAAAAATTCTTTACAAGTAAATAAATTTTTTTTATTTTGCTGAGGTCGGCAACATCCTCATTGCCAGCCTCTCCCTGCTGTCCCGGCATCGGCCTGCCCTCACGCAGTCATGCTAGCTAACCAGTCCTCTTCCATCCACATTCCTCCACTTGAAGACTTGTATTCTGACAAAAGACACAAATGAATTGTCAGTCTTCACCACATCTCTAGCCATAGCTCATACCACCTCTGAGCTTGTCCAATAATACTTTTTTTTTCATTAAGGTCATCACGATTCTTGATCTCTTGGTCACTTTAGAGTTTTTTATAGTAATATTTGCCTTTGATGAGGCTGGCTTACATCCCGGAGCCATGTGGAATGCACGTGGGAGGACAAACAGAAGAGGTAATCACAGTACGGTCGGCACGTGTGGACTGAGGCTTCTCGGAGCAGCGGGTGTCTCAGACGGGAAAGGGTGGCGTCTGTTTGCTGCACCGCACAGGGGAATATCGAAAATGGCACAAAATTTTAATTGTTGTTTTTAAAGGATATTTTATATACAAGTATATAATTTTTTTTGTAAAAAAAACAGCGAATGGTCAAAACCCCAATAAAAAAAACGCGAAAAACACGGGATTACTGTAGTATTCTATTTTTCCATTTTTCTTTATTAATTTTTTATTGCCTTGTACTTAATCCCGAGGCTTCGGGTCACGTCACATGAAGTTTTTTTTTATCTTTTCCAGGCCTATTTAATTAAAAAGAGCTGTCTTAGCAAGATTATGTTGCCAAATAGTTATTTATTTTTCACTCATACATGAGAGCCTTCCAGTCTCTTCTCAGTAGCTTCTCAGCTTTTGTTATGTAGGAATCTCATCCTTAGTCTTGACTCACTTCACAATGTTTTCTACCACCTCAACCCCCAAGCACAAGTTTAGTATTGTGCCAATTACTGGAGCAGTAATAATGATTGTTAACAGTGTAAATAGTAATAACATAGTAAAACAAGTGTCCTGTACCTCATACTGCTTATAAATTCATGTTGTTTACCTCGATACTACTGTACTGCATCACACACGCCACTGGTGTTGCCAACCTGTGGTAAGGACATGTATTTATTTCCTGTTTATATCATTCATGGCCAGTTTGTAATACTAAAATTGCTTTTTACTTGTTTTGTAATGTTCCCAAATGTACCCACATTGGGTGGGGGGGGGGGGGTTGCCAACCATAACCTGAAGCTCAGGGGTTAATCATATACAGTATATGGGAATTCATTATATGTTCATTACACTAAAATTATGTAATATATTTATCTACAGGAGCTACAGTTTTTCAATGAGTCGCTGCAACAGTTGAAAATTGCCCAGTTGAAGTTCAGTGAGTCTGGAGAATGTGTGGAGAAGGTATGTTCATGTTATAATGATTTTGTTCTGATGATGATATTTTGTAGTTATAATCCAGGTTAGCATGTTTCTCCTGCTCCACTGTAACTGTAACACATCACCACTCTTGTTACCATCTTTCTTGTAGTGTTTTAGTTCAAAGATTCGTTTGGTGAATCTTGCTGCCATATTTTATTTTGAAGTTATATTGTTGAAGATTCAGTGGATGCTATGAGAGTTGGGTGTTAGGTGGTTCATGGCAGCATTACAGCATTTAAGAGTGAATGATTGGAGGAAAGAGTCTTTGGTTTTGATTCTGACCACCAAAAATATCACAAAAACTTTAGTCAAAATAGCAAAACTAAAGATTGTTAGGCAGTGATTTGGTATAGTATGTTGTCCTTTTTTTTCCTTATTACAGTATTATTTAATGGGTGTATGACTGAACTCTTGTCTCTCTTTGCCATCCTTTGGTAACTATCACTATTTGTAGATGATGCTTAGTTGGTTAAGTTAATCTCATCAGCATATTCACCATAGGAGTTATATTAAACTTATGAGTGTGTTAAGGAGGAAGAACAAGTGACATTGCGTGATAGAAATTGAAGTACTAGTTTGTATTGAGAAAAAGTATTAGGTTGAATGTATGATTGAAACTACTCAAGAGTTTTATAATGTAAAGGTGAGTTAAGAGGAAAGGTAAGGGTGAGGTGGAGCATAAAATTGAGATGTGTGTAGAGAAAAATTAAGCTTAGATTTGAGACTAAATATTCATCTGGCAATGTTTGTAGGAAATTTCATGTTGTCTAATTAGGGAGTGTTGATCTCAACAGCCCCACCCACTTCTAAGTCATGTACCACTTATACTCTGTCATGCCTTCCTGACACTTCTCTTCAGGTTTGGATTATCACATATTATCTAGTATAAACTTTATAAATAAATATCAGAAATATGTATTTTGTGACAAGCATGTTGTGGCCTTGATGGTTAAAGCTGTTGTTAAGAAACATTAGTTCCCTGGCACCCAGTGTACTTCTTATAGTTGCCAAGGCTTATGAAAATGGGTGGGTTTCTCTTATTAGATCAAAGTCACAGCAGTGTTACATTTTGTTTCCAAATGCATCTGTGTGTGAACTTCATTGTCTTGAAAACACTTACTGTGTAATATTTCTGCTGGATTACATAGTTTAATGTACAGTATGACATAAAATCCAGATCGACAGTAATTACTGAAATTTTTGTTATCCTTTATTTAAATATTTTTTGCTTACAGGTAACACCAGAAACTAAAGGGAAGGAAATGTTGGTACCTCTCACGAGTTGCATGTATGTTCCTGGCACAATAGCCGATGCTGAGAAGTTACTCATTGACATAGGCACAGGCTATTATGTTGAGCGGGTAAGTTTCCTACTTTTTTGTCACAAATCTGGTGTGATAACATCAATATTGTATTATAAAACTAAGTTGTTGTATTGTAATATGTTACTGCTCACCTGATCACATACTGTACGCTGAACTCACAACAAGACCACTGTAGCTGTGTGCCATGGCCTGATCTGAAGATCACCCATTCCTCCCTGTTACATTTGTCTTTCCTTAAAAGGGTGAATTAGAAAAGGTTGTCCTCTAGAGGTGGAGGTGGAACAAGAGAACTATGTTTACCTAATCAATACACACACACTACACCAGCTACAGGCAGCCATCTTAGAGTCAGAGACAGTCCACCATTAATGAATTGGTTTCCCTCAGTATTTCAACTGTATGTTCAATACTTTCTCTAACACTGCCATAATATTACTCTGTGAACATTATATGCATGTTAAAAGGAAGTCCACAGGCTACTACTGTACTACCAGTTGGGGTTGACCAGCACTATTGAGAATGTAAACCCATCCAGTGAATATTGAGCTAACTGAAACTTTCAGTTGAATTTCAACCGAGTAATGCCATAAACCTCACGCTTTCATTGTTTTTTCCTGTAGGGGTGAACAACATTCTGTACTTTATCAAGGACTCGAAGACTTTTTTTGTAGAATTATAAATGTTTTCCAGAGGACAATTTTGTGTGATCTGAGAAACAGGCTTTATTATGTCCACTTTTTAAGAAACCTGGATCAGTTACTTCCTCTGTTAGAGAGAAATGGAGTGATCCCTCTGGTTCAGTCAGCCTGTAGGAAGCATCATTCAACTGAAACTGCTTTATGTAAAATTTATAAAAATTTGGTAATAAACACACAGGAAAGTCCTCCCTGGTCTTGCTGGATCTCTCTGCAGCTTTTGACACAGTAGATCTGTTGCTTCAGGATCTTGGGTTGTTTGGTGTCCATGAGAATGCACTCTCACTGCTTGAGTCTTATTTGTCAGGACAATCTCAATGTGTGTTGGTTGGTGAAACCATTTCAGACCCAGTCCCTTTGCAGTTTAGAGTCCCACAGGGATCAGTTTTTGGACTACTTCTATTTACAGTCTACTGTATACAATAGTCTTGCATCACTGCTGGATGCTCATGGTGTTGCCTACCATTTCTCTGCTGATGATACACAGCTTTATGTGAAAATAATAACTGTTGAGGATATTGAGGAGATAATTAAATCATTGATGTCTGTTATTAAAATTTGGATGGCTTGGAGAAAACTTCAGCTGAATGACTGTAAAACCGAGATTATCATCATCCAAGGAAATACTGTAGAAGGGAAGATGGCACAGATGAGCTTGGCTCTTTAAACTTTGGGGAAGTGCAACTCAGTTCTGTCAATTCTGTTTGTAATCTTGCTGTGTACTTTGACTCTTAGACTGAATTTTAAAGGGCATATAAATTCATTACTTAAGAGTTGCAGCTTTCATTTCAAAATCTATATGCTGTTAAAGTTTTTGGATAGACAGTGTCTTGTGACACTATTACATTCACTTATTTTGTCTCGGGTTGACTATTATAACTCTTTATGGGGCTGCCTACCTAATTATCTGTTGAAGAAAATTCAAACAGTGTTGAACAGGGTTGCCAGGATTATTTTTGCTCTACTGAGGACTCCTACTATCCCATTCTTGATCGAAATACATTGGTTTCCAATTAAAGCTAGGATAGAGTTGAAGCCATGTCTAATGAGTAAGTATTTGACCAACCTACTAATTCCACTGACCACACATTCATAAATGATTCTGCATAGTAGTGATGATTCTTCATGCCTTGAGGAGCCTACAACAGTAGAGTACAGGAATGTTCTTTTGCTGCTCAATCCTTTTCCTATACAATACAACACCCAGATTGTACAATGGGTTGCCTGCATCCATGAAGCAGCTAACTACTGTGGAGGCTTTTAAGAAAACTTAAGACCTTTCTTTTTCTTTACAGTTTACGATCCTGAACATGGTATGGTGATGGAGAATTACAGGGTTTAGGAAATATTAAAACTTAGTGAATATGAATGATAGAAGTCGAACTGTCACTTTTTGTGATATTTTATTGTAGTACGTATAGTACAGTTTTTCTTTTTATTTTCAAGTCTGGCTTGGCAGAGTTTTGAGCACTAGTGAATTCTTTCTAAGAACTAGCTATTATTAACTCAGAGCTGTCTATTATCCAGATTGCCTTGATGTTTGTGTTTTAGACTGAAAAAAAGTGCCCATGTTCTTAATTAGCAAAGTGTATACATCACATGGCAAATATTTAATGGAAATGGATGGTAAAATATATTTGAAACAGAACATTTGTGATAGGGCCACAATTATCAAGTACCTGTACAGATATTCTGATTTTAAGGTTCCATCATACTGTACAGTAGATGTTTTTGTAATGAGTGGAATTCCGTTGATTTTTTCCTTGTGTTTTCTTCCCCAGGATGTAAATGGTGCCAAGGACTACTTTAGCAGAAAGGTCAAATTTGTGACTGAACAAATGGAGAAAATTCAAAAAATAGCATCTGAGAAAAGCAAGCTAAGAGAAGGTATGTGGAAGGGGGAACATAGGATTACCCCCATTTCATCTAAACGTCCATATGATTACTGTATACATCCATGTGGCTATACACTTACACAACCCTATGTCTGTCTCAACTTACTTTCAAACACTACTGGCCATTCAGTTATAAAACTCACATTAATCTAAATATTTTGTAAGGTTGCATTTAACAGAAATAATTATTTTCTGATCTTTCATATTCTTCTATTGCTCTGTGCTGTAAGACACACGCAGAGCTCTAGTGTTATTAGTGATATAAACACTTATTCTGAATCACCAATATTTATGTGAGACATTGTAGATTATTTCTGACAAGAATGCAAAATAGAGGCAGTCCATTATTAGTACAGTAGTCAAATTACAGGTATCCCCTGATTTATGATTTCCATATTTACGACATTTTGCTTGAACAATGGTGATGCATTAAGACCACACCCCTATTTACGAAAAAAAAAATCATGTGAATGATGGTCATCGACCGACCAAAATTACTGACGTGCAGGAAATGGAATGCATCTCTTGGTGCACTTTTCAGCTGCAGTCTAACCACATGCCGCCTGGTGGTGCACTATATACTAGTTCCATTGTGTTCACACAAGCCAGTGGTCGTATAGCTCAACAATTATTGGTCAATATCGGTGTTGTTACTTATCACTGTTTTTGTGACAGTGAAGTGAGCAGTGTGACTTTGAAAATATCTGGCAAGGGTGTTGGTCAGGCTCATGCATCTGGGAAGGCCAAGGCACCCAGGAAAGCTGTCTTTGTACATGTGATGACTAGGCTTGTTCTTAATGATGTGGTGAGTATTGTTTAATTGTTTTAGGTATATTATTAGTGTAGGAATTTTATTTTTGGCGATACATGTGGGTGTCAGACTGCCTGGGAACATATCCCATTGAACCCCCATGTTACAATGATACCGATTTACAATATTTGGACTTGCGATGGGTTTTCAGCAACGTACCTCCGTTGTAAATCGGGAGATACCAGTATTTTGGGGGGCATTGGGAAGATTATTTAGAGGGATTTTTTTTCCTCATTTGAACATATAAAATTGTATTGACCAAATATTCCAAATTTGTCTTTGTTTCAGTTGTTATGGACATGATGGAAGTGAAACTTGATCAGCAGTTAGCAGTGATACAGCAACAACAGGCTGAGGCAGAGGCAGCAAAGGCTGCGGCTAAGGCAGCTGAAGAAGAAATGTGATAGTAAATAACTTTTTTTGTCATCGTCCGTAATATATAAATAATGCAATATTTAATTAGGCATCCTTTTTATTTACGTCTTAGGTACATCAATCTGTATTTGGGCACGACATTTCATTTTGCTATCAACTAATATAGGCAAAAAATTATATGGTAATCAGTATTTGGCTTACAGAAGCTCAGCTTACAATATTAAAGTTTCCTGTGGAAAAGAATGTCTCATTCTCTAGTGATTCTCATGAGAATATTCAGTACAGGCAGTCCCTGAGTTATGACCGTCCAACTTACGAACAGGATCACAATACCTGTACAGTCTTTGCCAAAAAAATTTAAATTAAAATTCCATTTTTTACATTTTCATTATTCTATACTGTATTGTTTAACATCACATACAGCTGTTTTCTCAGTCCACTGGGAGCTTGAACACATACAGGAGGTAGCTCCCACACATGAATGGGTTTATTAAACACCATTTTGAGGCCTCTCGCCAGTCGGACGCATCAATGATGTGTAAGACTGGTGAGAGAGACCGCAGAAATGCATTTAAAAAGCCCATTCATGTGTGGGAGCTAGCTCCTGAATGTAATGACAGAGAAAATGGCTGTTTATTTACATTATTTGTTGTGTGGGATATTATTGTTGTTTTGTATGGGAAGGTTCCAGGAATGTATACCTGTCGTAAGTCGGGGACTGCCTGTATGCAGGCACTCCCCGGGTTACGAATGAGTTCCGTTCCCAAGGACATTCTTAAGTTGAAACACATACCATATGTGCATACCGTACTTATAAAACAGTGTTTAAAATCCCACTATATTGTAGTCTGTCCTTATATACATCTAAAATCACTTAAGAGAAATGACAAAATGCAGTAAAAAAAAAATGAGTCCTCAGGTAAATAAAATACTGTAAATTTAAAGTTTGACCCTATCGGACCTCGTTCGTAACCCGGGGACTGCCTGTATAGGTCAAATGGTTTTTAAGTCGTCTTATAAAACTAAATATATTAAAAGAAAAAGATGCATGCAGCCCTATTTTCCTTTGTCATTGAATAAGAAATCTGTGTTAATAATGTTTGTTGGTTGTGTATTTTATTGAAAAATTAATGTTGATATGGCTTTACTTAATGAATTTATTGTTTGTTTTTATTAATTTTATATTCATCTTTTTGCCTCAACTTCTATTAGTAAACTTCAAAGTCTTATGCCTTTGTAAATTACCCTAACCTATGGGATATTGAAATAATTTATAACATCAAATAATTTATTCTATCCCGTAAGCCAACAAAATGGTATTCTAGAACAGTTGATACTATAGCATTAAGGTTTTACATAAAAACTCTACAGTATTTACAGAGATGATGCTTCCTGTCCCTCACTACCTGCATTATAAATTCTTACCCAAAACAGAGGAGCCACCTGCATGGGGGTGCTATTCAAAAGGTGCTGCTTCCTAACAGATTATCATATACCTGTCATGGAAATGTCTTACTCATAAATTAAGACCTCTGAATTCTGAAATGCATGCCAAGCCATGCCTTTATCTAAGCAGCATTAACAAATATTACACATGATAACATCAGCCACTGACATGGTCAGCCAATACTTCAATATTTACAATTGCTCCAAAACACAATCTCACTCTGTGATTAAAACACTGAAACAGGCTTATTAGGCTAAAAATGCTATTATACAGTGAGCTGAGGGACAGCCATGTGACAGTTCTGCGATAATATGCCCTGGGGTATTACATCAATAAAGCTCATTATTTGCCTCCACAAACAAAGTCCTCACTGAGGTAAAACCTATGGAAATGTGTGGCTAAGTATGTCACAAACCTAACGTGAATCTACTGTTGCTCCCACGGGTAACAACAGTGGTGGGTAAATGAAGTTCATGAGCATGAAAAAACAAAACAGTCCTGTGGCACTACCCTCTATGAAGGAAGGAGGCAGAGTGAATTAAGTGGCACCACACCTGCAACTGAAATCACAAGTTCATGTGTAATATGAGTTGGGGTACAACATAGGAGAGCTAAGTCCCTCCATGTACAAGGTGTCACACAATACTTTCCTCCACATAATGTTTGATACTGATGGACAGCTGATAACAGCATTACATGATATATGCATATAATGCAAGCATTAAAATATATGGAGTGATTACTTGCCACAGCCCTGTTATAGTGCATGGATATAGCTCATTCAATATAAATATTTAACAAAATCATGAGAAACTTTGAGAAAGGACATTATAGATTGCCAGTAGCACAATACCTTCATTACAATAAATGACTGTGTGGACAATTCACTAATTGACATTGAAAATAATGATTTTACTTTAAAATTGGACTTTGTATTATGTACTAAAGATTTTTCTAGGGACCTGAAAGACTAAATGGGTTAAATCAGATTAATGAAATGAGGTTGTCAATTTCTGTTGTAATAATAACCTGACCCTACTTAGTATGAAGAAATACTTCTTGATAAAATCCCTATGCTCGTACAAATTTTTTGCATTTTGAACACGTTTCCCTGAAACAGTGGACAATAAAATGTCGATATAACATTTCTGAGAAAGCTCTGAAAAATGCTGAAACAAAAGAGTCTAAATTATCTATGTATTCCATAACACTAAAACCATTTTGATTAAGATATGTGATATGAATTTTTGTTACATTGTTCAATAAAGATGTGAACTGAGATTTTGGCTACTTATACAGTATTAACGTTTCTAAAAAAAAAAAAAAAAAAAATTGGACATACAATATTTCAAAGATGTGACAGATCCAATCTTGTTTGTAAGTACAGTACTCTTATAAGTTTCTTTAATATTCAATATATATATATTATATTTATTCCCCTTTAATTATTGAGCCCTGAATGAGAGAACAGGTCATGAATATCAGCCCCTGGACCACCTTAACAAACAGATCACAGAAACAGCATCTTATACACTACAATAGTGTGTATGTGTGTGTGTGTGTGAGAGTACGTCAATCTGGGATTGTGGACTATGCAAAACTAAATTACCATTATAGCAAGTTTGTCATAAAAATACTGCTATAAAGCGGATTCCTTCATTAATTATGAAACCTTTCCTGTACTCATTAGGAAAAGAAACAATCGAAATGATCATTTTTTTTTAGAGAAAATATTTCAATTTCACTACAACTGAACTGTTGGTAATTCAAATGCCCTAAAATGCCTAATGAGTGGATCTCTGGTATTTCCCAAACTGGGACTGAAAGACTCGATTCTTATAAAATGTTTTGATGTTCAGGAATAAGATAAAGCCTTTTTTTTATAATTAAAGATAGACACTGGAGCATTTCACAAAGAGCAACAGGAAAATAGCCTGATGCAAATACACTGAGATGTGAATCACATGACTCAGAATATTTTGAATGGGATTCACCTTACTGCAGACTCCCTTTTCTGGTCACAAAACAGAAAATGAGACTGCTTAAGTATTCTTTAGTTTAATGTTTGCTGAAATAACCAAATAATATATAGCAAGAATATATATCATAGTAGGATGGATTTTAATGTACAGTACTTTTAAAGGAAAACAAAATTCAAAAATTCATCTGAAAGAATTCAGCCTATTTAGAAAATCATAAAGCTTGAGAAAAATATTTAAACCATAAAACATTTTTAAATTTCAACAAACAGTTTGACCTTTTAGGTGATGAATAGGCCACCAAGTTGTTTACTATGATGAGCATTAGTGATTGTGTTGACAATACTTGTGACTGGGTCAGCACATACAAGCCTTTGCATGAATATACTGTGATGCTTATATTTTCTTTTGAGAAACACCTCAGATTATTATATAAGGCCTGAAGTGGCTAATCACATCACACTTTCATATGCTCCTACTTACTCTATTCTGGCCATATTGATTCCTGATGTCTCTCTATTTATGCACGTACATCTTATGCGAGGTAACTGTAAGTGTCCTTCTGGCCATCTATTCTCTCTAGGTATTCTTTCTCTATCAGGATATCAATGCATCTCTGAAACAAATAAGAAATACACATTAAATGTTAACTTTAGGTTTTAGGGAATTTAAATAAGTGAAAAATCTTGTGTATTCTAGAAGATACGCTATGAAGGTAGATACGAGAAAAATAAGAATAAGTCAAACAAATACCTGTACAGCATCTAACAATCTGAAAGAGCTACTATAATGGGGGATATAATTTTAGTGACAATAAATGGCTACTGATATGCAATATATCATCAGTACTAATGTATAAGCATGCTTATCTTTGCTTCCATTACACTCCTTTTTCCCAAAAGGTTCATTCTTCAGTATACAGGTTGTACCACTCCAATCCTGCACCCTCAGGACCTGACAAGAGCTGGACCATATAATTTTCCAAACCATGGGTGGTTAATATATTTCTATACTAAAAAATGATACAAGCTCACGTACACACAGCCTCACGAACGCTGCCTTTGCCTACCCCATAGAAACAGGATTCCTTCATGCTGCTGCCCCCTCCCCCACTCAAAGTGCTAACTCACACACAAAGAAATGTTTATTCCCTTTTATGATTTTTCACTGATTTTTTTTTCCCATTTTGAATGTAGGATTGTGTGTGCGTGTAACTGAGTATAAATAATGAAAGTTATGTATATCTACCCAAAATTACGAGTTGAAAAATAACCATAAAGTGCTCACAGCTCGGCCAGGTAGCGAAAAGTCTGAGGGGAAATGGATACACTAACAAGTGTGACATGGTAACAGTGCCACCAGCAATGTAAATGTTCAATTGTATCAGGTATTTGTAGATTTAAAGTGGCATTTATAGTGAATGATGATGTTCTTTTCAGGTAGAAACATAAAAAAAAATCTAGGCGTACGGCAGGCAAGCCACGGATAAAAGCGTTGTATGGAAATGCATGAATATTAACTCCTCAAAAATATTACACATATATAGTTCAACCCTCTACTTTTTGCATAAAAATTTGATCATAAAAATTCTAACTATACTCGAGTACTGTATATAGTTGCCAAATATGACTACTTACAGGCTCACTACAATATTTAATGTTTAACACACTTTTTCAATAATGTATACTTTCTACAATTATAACAACTAGAATTTGAAAGCTTTGTACTTTAAATTATGACTTGAAAAGATGTTGCCAAACATTTTATTTTACACATGGTGAGACAGCCTGTTGAAGTTTTATCCAAACAACTGCCATTAGGTAATAATAGCTAACCAACACAAATCTAGGAAATGGCTGTAAAATAATCTTGTTGATAACACACATCTATAAATCGATTCCCTAAAGGAGCTTATGTCTGATGTATTGGTGTCTTAACTACCCTTTGATCTATTCTCTCCTTAATGTCTTAATTCTGTTTTATCTACCACAAGTATGAGATCAAAAAGGTCATTGGATAATCACAGCTAAATCATGCAAGTGTGGAAAATTACTGCAAAAAGTTGTTGTTGGATACAACGTACGTTGTCTCCCTCTACTGAATGCATGTACAATATTACACCGTCCCTGTACACTCTTTATTATCCAATTTTCTTGTACCTTCTCATTTGTATACTTACACCAATTAAAAAAACATTACCTAATTTTGAAAAGTTACAATTACCAGGCCCAAAAGTTGAATTCTACAAACTGCCTGCATGGATACAAGAATCTGCCTGTTTTCAGTTAAAAAAAATAAACACTTTAAAGATTGTAGGAGAAGGTGGCATTTTTTCATGCAAATTAAAGTATTATTGATTTGAAATTATACAAATTACTGGAATATACCAGTAACTGAAAAGCAAACACAACTTAAAGACTAATGTCAATCAGTGAGCACTTACCTTTATGGTTGGTACGCGAGGTTTGAACCTTGGAGTTAACTGGTTGAGAACTTCCATGAGGAGCTGCTGATGCTTACACACTTTCCTCATCTTCATAATTCGAACTATGGCTGCTTGGATCAGTAGCTTACGATCTTCCTCAATATGCTTGTGGGTAAGCTCTTGTTCAATCTGAAGTAACAAAGCACGTCAACCATGAAAGTTTTACGATACATAATCAAATATTCTGATTGGTCAAAGTTAAAAGATAAACAATTAAGCCAAGAGTAACCAACACTAAGTTAGTGAGATTATTACACAATGGAGATGGTCCAGAAAACATACTGGATGATCTCTTGGTGATTTATTATTTCTATTGTTCAAAATGCTGGACCAAGAAACATTCCAAGCATTTACTGTCAGTCATTCACTCTTACTACTATACTGTATTTGTTGTGGTGCTTCCCTTCCATGGTACAGCCCTAAAATGCCAGTCTTGTTTATCCCTGTTCCTTCACACGACCCAGCAACTATATGTCATTAGTAGCACATCCGTCTCGCAAAATTGCTCAACACTTAAGTATCTAATACTGTAATACACATACATACAACTGCTTTCAGTTTTTGGTACCTCAAAATAAAACCTAATCACTCACCTTCATCTCTGTCTTCATTGGCACATTAATGTTGACCCTGAGTTTCTTGTTTTTGTATCCAAGGAAAAGGTTGACCCGTGAATCCAACGAGATGTCCTCATCATCTTCTGATATGAGTAGCTTACACTTGAGTAGGATCTGAACTACTTGAAGAAGAATATCTTGAGTAATGCCAGTCATCTCCTGTAAAGGGGACCAAACATTGTATAAGCACCTTGAGGCAAGAATATTGATATATGATGGCGTAACATCTCTACCGTATTATAATGATAATGGTAGTTCTAAGCAAGTGGGGAACCTCTTGTAATTTGATTTTATGGATTTCAAGAGTTTCACTGAACATACCTGAATTTAAGGTATATTGCATGATGAAAATAATAAAACTAATAAAAAAATTATATGCTACTTAACTCCCTGATTGTAATTCATCATTTGTTCTTTTTGCAATAAAAAAACATGAAAATGCTTGTCACTACACAGTTTTATATGTGATGTCCTGCTTTGAAAGTGAAGAAACCTAAAAATCTCTTGCTAAACATTACCCGAAATGTTGAAACTCTTCCAGTATAGCACTGTATCCTCATCATCATAATGTTATATTTTAATTTGCCAAGTTTCTCTATTCTGACAAACAATAATACCAAAACCTACTTGTAAATGGGCAACACTCCATGACACTGCATTGTTAAACTGAAGTAACACAGCCATTTGAAACGTTGATGCTTGTAGAGTGTACCTGCAACAAAAGGCCATAGGGTCAGTTAATGCTAAAAGGAAACCAAAATATGAAAACTTTCATCAGTCTAATGAAATCGAAGATTTTCCTGAACCTATGATTTTTTCTTCACCCTTTGTCAGTACAATACCTAAACAATTCACATCAAAAAACACAATAGTTTCAAGAGGGATCCCCTCTTCCCCAGCAATACTGCAAGATTTTTCCTTCTACACTGCAGGATAGTAGGTATAGGACAGGCTTAACAGTTCTATGACCTTAGTGATACTTGCAACCTGGGTAGCTAATGGGGTCATCACAGTGGTATACACAAGTTGATTTTACAGTAAAAATAAACATATTTAATAATACAAGAAAAGTATAATAATTACCTATTTTTGAAGCAGTTTGTAACAATTTCACCCTTTGAAAGATGGAACAACCAATTAAGCTTACGACCACTGTGTTGGCTGGAGTAGAATGTTGTGAATCTGGACACACTTCTTTCCAGCTGTTGGCAAATGAAAGATGAACAGTTAGTATAGGCAGTCAACAGTTTCTGCACTCACTCAAGAAAGTTCCCTCTTCCATCACACTACTATACTGTATTTTTTCCCTTTTTTTGTATACAAGTCATTCTATTTACCCCACGTTAACCTAAGCTACAATATTTCTGTCATTCCTAATGCCTTCTCTTCTTGCACTTACTGTCATGTTCCAAATCCATAAATGTTTTGGCATTATTTCTTAAAACATCCCAATTTTTGTCTTGCCTGATACAATTCTTTCTCATTTCTCTACATATTACTTTCTTCCTTTCTTTTTGTTACTCAATGGTTCAATTTATCCCCCTTGTACATTTACTAACAATTCCACTCCAAAATATCTGAACACTCCATTTTCTCTATTCTACCTCACAAACTCTTTCCCTTCTCCAGAATCTTTTCAATTCTTTAGTTGTAGTAAAACTATGAAATTACATTAAATCCAAGAAGCTCACCTCATGAGGGAGAGTGAATGTCTGGGACTGCTGGAAGGGCCATGACCCAGAAGACAGAACCTGAATAGCAAAATCTAAGTCTAAAGGCTCATTGCTGCAAGCAAGGTGTTTCCTAAATTGGTCATTCAGATCCTTCGACACACCAATATCCTGTAATGATAAACACAAGTTAGATATGGCATAATTCTTAATGCAATAACCAAATCATATTTATAATGTGCATTTTCAGTAGTTTATCTTTATTGTGCCAAAAAATAAAAGATAAAGCAGAGGAATGTGTTTTACTTTGGGCATTTCACCACAGCAAAATTCATCATGGATTGTACTATTCTGCAAATATTGGATGAATAAAATTCCCAAGTGATCTGGGTATGTAGCTTATTCCTAGGGCATCAATGAATGAGAAAGACCACAATAAAGGACCAAGACAATATACCTGGAACATTCTCTGTAACTTGGACGTATACTCAAAACCACAAGCTTGCTTCAGCTTGGATATCATTGAGGCCTCCGCATCATCACTGGCAGACATGTGTTGTACCAATCTCTTGGCCAACATCTTACTGTAGAACTTTTGGAAAACATCCTTATCTTCTATGTACTTAAATACGATCATAACCTGAAATACAATAAACTAAGATTAGAATCAACGTGTTCCTTACAGAGTTTCAAGCGAAAAATTAAAATTTACTGGGACAGATTATGTTCAGGGAAGCAGATGATTTTTGATTCATTCATTCTTCAACCAAAACCAATCACAGATTCAGAGCCTCGGCCAGGTCCTTCAGGTGTACAGCCACAGCTTCAAGGAAGAGGAGGAAACGACAGACGACCCCTGTTCAGCTCCTGTCTTTCCATCCTCTTCCAACTAAATCTTTCCCAACTTCCATCCAATAAAACCCAAGACAATTATTTTTGAAGGCAAGAAAAAATAAATCACTGATGTCGTTACAATAATTTACTTATAAAAAGGGTTATTTCAAGTTTCTGGTACAAATCATAACCTATTCCCAACATTTCTTATGGACAGAAAATCTTGTTATTTGAAGATCGCTTAACGAGACTATTTTTCGCTCCCCATTAGCCTCAGATAGTAAGGACCCCATGTACTTGACGAACAAGTCAGATAATTTATGGTCACCCTCCACACATGCTCACTTATAAACAATGAAAACTCGCCTGATTAAGTGTGTCTTCTAATTCAGCTTCCTCAGGATTTTTAGAAGATTTCTTAAGTAGCAAGTCACAGTATTTAGCCAAGAGCTCTGGAGATTTTGATGATGAGTTGGGATGTTTAGTTACACTGTTGTTATTAATGAAGCGACCACACGCCTTGTCCAGAGCTGCGACGAAGCCTGTGTCGTTGTTGAATGCAGTTAGCACCAAAGAATTGTATTTGCGGTGAACCTCCAAGATGGTCTGTACATATATTTTTGGGTCCTGTGGATAAAAATCTGAATTAATTCTTGTCCAGCAACAGATATATCTATAGTAACTAGCCATCACTTCATAAATTTACAATAGGAATTATAAGAAGTTCTATTCACTGACCATCTTCTTCCCAAACAAGTACAAGGAGGAGTTAAAGAGTTGTGATTATAATACATAAGATACTGTACTCTGATACCGTATATCAATCGCACATAGAGAAGACTGCAAAATTCCGTGGCTCTGCACTGGATAATTTTATATACAAGCTTAGGTGAGTGCAATGTATGGATGGACAGATGCAAATCTATGTGAAAAAAAATTGTATGTCTGGATGAAATGAACATAATGAATAAAACTGCTATTCCTTACATTAACAGCCGAGTCACCACAGCGATCAATAGCTGCCAAGCCCTGGTTAGTAATGTGTTGCTCCAAGAGTGTTCGAAGTTCACGCAGACCATCTGGTATTCTGTAATAATTGCTTTTGTATAATGGCTGTAATAGATAAACTGATATATTCCCCCCACTCTTCTAAACCTTTCCCCACTGTAACTAAAGAATGGCCACAATCAAGAGTAAATATACCTGTAGGTTTTCCCTTCATTTATTATTATTCATTCACTGTTAAAGAAATGTATTACTGTATTTGAATTACCTTGGTAGTTATCTCAGCTTTCATTTAACTCACCGAAATATATTCTTCTGGATAAACCTGATGGAAGTATAGTAGTCTCATCTAACATTAGGTTTTAAAAGTTTACACATTAAAATAATGAAGGAGAGCAGCTACTTACCTGGAAACAAGTTGATACATTCTAGCAAGGTCTTCATTTTTATCATCATTGAGTAGATGTTGGAACTCATTATGGAATATCTCCAGGTGCTTCTCAATGAGGACCTTCTCACAAGTTTTACCCAGCTTCTCTAAAGTGGTCTCGTGAAGGTAAACTTGAACACGTCGTTGTTCTTCTAGAAGTCTTGTTTCAGCCTGTAGAAGTTCATTAAGTCATCAGGGATATTTTCAGATGGTAGAATACAGTATGTCTCATTTCTTATAAACACAAAAATCTCTGATTATCACATCACCCTCTTCATTTATTTCACTCCCACAAGACCTTTCCTGCTCTGATGCAAGTAGACCAAAACTGAGAGTAAAAATGGATATGACTTCCCCTTTATTCCTGTATCTGATTTGTTCTGCTTCCAAACCTTATTTATTTAACCCTGTCACTTCTTACAACCCAGTACCACTTTTATTTTAACTAGAAACAAGAACATTCTTTGTGGAATTTAGAACAGACTCTGTGGAAACTTTTAGCCTACCTAGATTGTGACTCGTGTGAAATTTAGTGAAGCATCATAGAATCCATATCCTAATTCTTACCTTTTTCATATATTCTGTGACTGGGTTGTTTCGAAGGAACTCTGTGCTTTCCCGGGTATAGAAACGTTCTGTGTCCTCCAGGAAAGTGTTTTCAAATGATTCTCTGTATACAGACAAGTTCTGACCTCTTGCACTGGGTTCATCTTCATTTAAACCTAAAAAGAGAGAAAAAAATACATTGTAAATTCTAGAGCCTAACAAAAAAAGGATATATTTTTTGTCATCCCCCATTCTTGTACGGTAAAAATACTTCTTGAGTGATAGGCATTGCTTGGTCTAGCTGGAACATAAAATAATCATGATCACCTCCTGACACTCCACTCTGAGTACCACAAAGTTAATTGGATGTGGCTCCAGAATCAACACAGTACCTCATAGCTTAGAAGTACAGGTTAATATTTCTTAACAACCTGGAATAGTATCTTGTATGAAAGTGGTGGAGAAAAAGAACCTCACGATTCAACTTCATATGCATAGTGAATGGACAAAGGGTTTAGATACAAGCACATGGTTGAAGAAAGATGGGATGACATCACACACACACAAGGGTTCTTTTCAACTATGTAAACAGAAAACAAAAGAGTCATCACTTCAAGGTATGCTCTGTATGATGCCAAGATTATCAGCCAAGATATTACCGGGAAGTAAATTAAAGCATGAAATGGTTGAACTAAGAGATGAAATATTAGCCTAAAAAAAAAAAAGACCCACTTGTAAGATCAATGACAGACAGAAGTTACCCATCCTCAACACCCTAAGATATGTGACTTTCTAAACCCTGAATGATTTGAAGGCTTGCATTACTCTCCCTATTACTTCCCCATCCCTCTGAGGTTTTTATTCCCCCCTGATCTACCCAAATAAAAAAAATGACTGAGGAGCAAATATGAGACACACGGCACTTACCTAGCTCAACGTAGCAGTTCATCACACCGGACACCAGCCTTGTGTTGATCGTCTCGCCATTTCTTTCACGTTCAATTAGTTTTAATACTGCATTTGTTACCTGAAATGCATTTGAATCATTATTATCAAACAAGAAAGAGAATGAACAAATGGAAAAGAAAAACAAAGAGTCGGCAAAACTTTAGCAGCAATCTGGGACGGCAAATATTCATGTCTAACTAAATAACGGAAAGACCCATGGCAGGAGTATTGTTTGAGGATTTTCACATATAGACATAATCTTGTCTTACCTGTTTATTTAGTGGCTGAAATAGGTGGTCCCGCCAAGTAACTAGGGCGAGTTGATAAATTTCATAGATACCCTTATGACCCTCATCACATTCACGCTTCACCCAGTGCCGATTCAAGTAGGCACAAACACCATTCAAAACCTGGAACAAAAAAGGTATCATATTGAGCCCATCAGAATGAAAGGAAGAACATATGGATATAATAACCACACACCAGATGTTTATAACCAGTAGTTACAGCAATAGTTATCAAGCAGTGGGATAGCAGCAATTTTTAGGGAATATTTATGACATGTTGGCAAGAATACTCTACATATGTTCACTGATGTAAATTACTAAAAACATATCCTCAATATCTTTAATTTAAAACAAGTGGTTACTACAGGTCACCAGTGAGCCTACGCCTGAGCACCAAGCTTCATTATACTACACTTCAGTCCCAGCATTAGCAACACAGCATAAATAAAATTACCCTTAACATTTTCTTTGATACAAGATAATGAAACACACTACAGTACAATGAGTGTATTGACAGACATATTAGGTGTTGAAGGATATACATATAGACAGCTCAAGGAGGAATGATCCACATGGGGCCCTGTACAGAATATGACTCACCTTACTAGAGAACTGATACTCTTCCCATTGTCTAGTATAGAACCGCAGTACTTCTTCATCCATCAGATCTACTCCATCCTATTTGGAAGAAATTCCACAGTTAATTGATCTACTGATTAAGCTTTCACCTCACCAAAAGTAACCAACAAGCAAACACTACAAATTTTAACAGTTGCTAAGGATCCCAAAACTTAGCCAAGAGACTGATAGATACATCTACCGAGAGTATAAAGATTAATGATCTCTACCTTTGTATTAAACCCTCTTAATTGTTACCTTGAGAAGTAAAAGGAGTGATAAAACCTAAGTTTTCATAAGTAATTCAATATTTTTTTTTTTAATTGAGAAATACAAACAATTAAGATGCATTAGAGCTAAACTATAATGACTTTCTCCAAGTAACTACAGTACTTTGCTTACTAACACTTTAATACTTTAGTCAGACTCACTTTCATTAATGTAACAAGATAATTCTTGAGAAAATCTTTAAGGCGCTTATACAACTCCAGGCCAACAAACTGAGCACCACCACCTGCGGCTGTGCTCTTTTTGCCCCGTGGCCCACCACTACTGCCAGACTTTGTAGACTGTTGGTGTACCTGTAATATTATCAATGAACAAATTACACAAATGTATTAATCATTTCACAAAAATGTTTAACCCTCAAGATATCTGGCATTAGCATAAAGTATTTGGAAGTTCCACACAGTATATGCAGTACAGTTAGTTTGTGGTGCAGTGTACTGTATCTAGAGTCAAAAAAGGTGACTGAGGGAAGAATGTGCTGCTGGTTGATGATGTAAATTGACAGGAATAAACCAGTTGTATTGTTATGGTAGAGAGTACACTATATTACAGTTGTGTGTGGGTGTGTCTAACATAACAGGTAAGGGGAAAATACAGTATTTGTCTTTTTATTCTGGCCGAGCAGAAAAAAATCCTGAAAGTGTATTTCTTTACTACAATAAATACATTTTTTACACATCATCAATCCTTGTGCTACAGTAATAGGAGGCATAATCTCAAAATGACCCCCGAAAATATGATTATGTATAAGGACTCCATATTTGGCCACTCTCTCAAATGTGAGAAGTTACTACAGAAAATCTCACTCATCCAGGTACATACACACATTGCATGACATTACAGTACACAGAGCAAATGTTTAACAGAACAAACACTATAAACAGTTTGCTGAAATTGCCTCTCATTGCATTGGTTAAGTTTGAAGTTCATACCAGAAATATGTTGATTTTGTAGCTGATGCTAAACCTTTTTCTGTAAATAATTAATGTACTGTGTAAATCTGGTTAATTGTATAAACTGTAAATGAAATAAGAAGGAGAGGTATATGCAACATTGCCTACTATTTACCCTGTAGTCAGTTGGTACATGTTGGAGCTTGCTCAAGAAGACTCAGTGTGGCTGACAATGTTCACAGAATGAAGCCAAACAACACACCGGGTTTAAAAAATGTTAAGCTGTTAAACATACTAATATTTCCTCTTAAGTATATTTTACAATACAGCACTAAAACAACTACAGTATCATCCTTACTGCTGGAATCTTCAATTCCCCAAACTTTCCAATACCTGGAAACTAAAATAAAAATTCAGGAAAATTTCAAAAACACTCTCCATTCTGGGCATTCTAACGAATTTCTAAGAGATTGCTTCATGCACCGAGCATGTAGGTGGGCTAGCTTCATGGAGAACTTGGCCTGCTTGCATCACAAGCTCAAGACGACAGCACTTACTGGTGAGTACAGTATTGTAGTAATATACTGTATTTTGTTTATTTACTATACTGTATTGCACCTGCAGAGTAATGTTTGCATAAATAAATACAGGTGTGTGGCTTTCCAACTGCAGTTAAACTTCCCTAGCAACAGTGCTCCATGCCAGACGCACAGTTTAGACTCAAACATTTATCAATGCCCGGAAAAACTGTAAACGAGCAATTTTTTCTGGGGATAAGGATTCGTCTAAATATCTGGAATCTCTGCACCATTGTTTCAGCTATTGGGAATATTACTGTAGTACTGTATTAATATACAAGCAGACCCCAATTTACAAGGACTGTACTGTATTCTTAAATTCGATATACAATTACTGTATATATAATAAAGTATAGAGTGAGCACAACTCTTTCAGCTGTGGGACTACAGTAGATCATTGTATGTCTGCCAGTACTGTGCAGTGTAGGAACATCAGCATCAGCCCCAATAGACGAGTGATCCCCGAATTTGTCTTATTTGAAATACTGTAGCTACTTATTTATTATTTTATTTTGTGGTGGTTATTCTTTGAATGTCATAAAATAATAGCAAAATTGGGTCTGGGGCCAACTGGACAACTACATGGTGGTTGAACGTGCCATAAGCTGTGACGTTTATGGAGTACCGTATATTCTATAACAGTTATCAGTTAATGGAATACCAGGTAAGAGATGAGCAAATATTTTGGGTGCTAAAATTCACAAATATACAAAATCTTATTCCATTAGATCTATGCATCACTGTCCAGTATCATATTTCTTAATCTTATCAATACAGTACTGTACTGTACTTTCAATGTTCACGAAGGTCAGAAAACACTTACGGAGGTGCAGTAATTATAAACATGTGTGTAGAGTTGCATGTAGCGAGGTCTTGACATCTCTTGACTGTTGTACACCTGTCATAAACATATTAATAATTAGGTTACATCATCATCACACTCAAGGTTGTATGACTGTCATGAAAAGATTAATATTTATGACACATCATCACATTTAAAGGAAAAGATAGGGAATGCCGTTAGAAATATAGTATTAGGAGAGGAAGATTAACTTTCAATTTACTGTACTTGTACTACGAACATTTTCAGCGAAAATTTATTCCATTTTTTCCCCCATGAAATGCACAATAAACAGGGTAGGTAGTAATTTGTGTATCAGCAATTGCTATCCTAACTTTATGTGCTACTACATGCATCACCAACTTAAAAAAACACTTTATTCTCTCACCTGTTCAATGCCTTGTCTTAGATCACCCCATATTTGATCTAAGTCAATTTGTTTTAACCCGTGTGGGTTACTGCTGGTGTTGGTATTGTTGCTGCTGCTGCCACTGCTGCTACCTCCACCACTACTACTGCTGCCTCCCCCTAAACCCCCACGTTGACCCGACATTTCGCCTGCAGTAGAAAAATAAAAAGTAATCAATTGCTATACGTGCCACACTGTATTAATTACAAAATTTACCCTTTCAGCTGCTGTCAGTAACACAGCTACTGAGGGTGAGAGAATAGTTCTTCTTCTACTCCACTGAAGAGAACTCATAACCAGACAGGATTCTTAACCCTTGAGAGAATGAGTAAGGCAATAAGAGGAATAAAGAGAAAAAGGAATAACAATATGGTAACATGATGGCCAGCAAGCTCCTCTGCTGTGGTTACCCCCTCAAAGAAAAGTTCCAAGGGTAGTGAGGCCACACAGGCAGAAAATTACAAGTCCACCAACCCAGATGACCAGTTATTCCTGTCACACATCATCATGTTTCATGGCCCCAGCTACATGTAACAAGACTGTTATCACAGTGTTTATATATGACACTAAAATTATACGGTATTTATCTTCAAGTACCTCCAAGATCTTATCACTGTGATCAAGTTGTTTGGCAGGAGGGTCCTAATCTGGTTACTTATGAGGGATAACAATTGTTTATTCATAACTGTGGTTAATGTAAGAAATGAGTACCTGCTACTGTATCATCAAAAGGGCTTTTTCAAACATCAGCTTCATTATGATATGGACATGTAGGTTAGCTTCTTCTGGAGTTTAAGGCTAATTAATTATATATTAGTCTGTGTTGTAAGTAGGTGTATTGTACAGTAAATATGGTTGCATTTATAGCCTATTTCACTAATTTTTGGAATGTACACACGCCACAAAAAGTTCTCAAACAGCTAGGCACGACAGATTTCAGAAAGAGCACTATGGATCGTGTCATCACAGAATGGTTGGTATGCCTGGTTCCAAAGTAACTTAATTTGCAATGAAACTTCTTCAAAGAGCAATGTTCAAATTTCTTGTTCGTTTTGTTGTGTTGTATGTCTCACAAACCATTTAAGAATTTATTGTGGCAAGTGTACATTAAACCTACACTAGTTTTATTTACAACAACCACACCCTAAGTTAACAAGTTGCATGACCCACTGTCAAGGAATAGTCCGAGAACACCGGACAACTCACCAACTGCACTGGCTAACCATTACCCCAGAACGCGATCCATATTCAATTAACTCCCAGGTCCCCAATTACTCCTGGGTAGACAAACTACACACACATTAAGGTTACCTTCCCTAAACTGCAGTGCAATACAGTACAGTTACAGATATTTACTATAATTCCTATGTATAGTACTGTACAGCATAGACTCCTCAGTGGGATAGAGAAAAGTTATTTCACTTATAAATGCTGAGAATATGAACCACCCAGACCTAACTAAATAATCTTATATAATGCTTCTCACTGTACATATGCACAAAACTATATCATACAGGTCCTCTGCTACCTGGCTCTAGCAGAGTAAATGGATCACCTGAAGATTTACCCCCTAGCTCATTTGACCTTATGATTAACCATCCTAATGAATTATTCTAAGGTGCCTAATCTGCAGGTGTCTAATCTGCAGGTGAGAAAAACCCCTATTCATGCTCACTTTTGCTCCTTTACTTTATTTCATGTAAATTTTGACTGGTTTGTCATCTCCATCCAACAGAGATAGGTTACAAGGTAGCTTGGATTGGGTTACTTCATTCCTCTACTAGCATAGTCTAAAACAGCCTAGACACGACTGTTGCATAAGGATATAAATGCCAGTTCTGTTACACCACACGTTGTTTCTCGAGCTTCCTTGCTAGCTCTGTATTCTAGGTATTAAAACAAGTCAGCATAACTTCCCTCTTAAGAAGTAAACTGGTGGAACTAGACTACAATACAAAGAAAATTTACTCAACAATTGGCAGTTGGACCCCAAGTCTGTAGCCACTTACTATTTATATCAATGGAAGTAGCAACAAACCTGTGTCCAGCTCTCAGTTTTAAGGGAGCAGCGTATGCCATCCCCTGCATACAAAACAAATGGCTTTCACAAACACAAGAAACAAAATATAAATGAACCTTAACATTGATTATCAGGCGAGATATAGTCAAGTTAGTATGGTTGTTTAAGTTACATGGACTGTGGTCAAGTTAAATCTGGTTGGTTAGGTTAGGTTGTTTAGGTTAGGTTTGAATACATTTAAAATCTGGTTGATTAGATTAGGTTATGAAGTTAAGTCTGATTGGTTAGGGTTTGTTAGCATAATTTATTAATTGGTATAATTCCCCACACAGACTATGATATCTCCAGCACTTACAACCACGTCAGGCAAAATTACAAAATATTGATTAAGATGCGAGTGTGTGTGTGGTAACTGCATGTATAGACCAACATCAAGTCAAGAATCATAACATTCCTCGCATAACATTCAGTAACATGTAAAACATTTAATATCAACCTAACATCATCTCCACATGCCAAAAAGTAACATCTTGAAAATAAAACACAACCATTAAAAATATACAGTACTTAAGGTTTAGAAGACAGGGGTGGAGTAGGGTGAGGTGTGGGTGGGGTGGGGTGTGTGGGAGAGGAATCAGTAACATTAGTTAAGTTCCACAGTTTTGCTACTTATTTTCTGATGGGATCTTCACCAAAATGTTTATGGTATTCAAGTGCGAAGAATGCAAATTTGGAGTGAGTAAAGGAGGTGTCACACTGGGCTGCACTTAGTGGATGTAAACAAAAGTCAAATGAATTGTTGCCTAGCATCTGTAATGCCTTCCAGTGATAAATATTATAAAACCTCAATTGGAACCCTGCAGTCAGAACTTGCCCGAGAACTCCCGTACAGTTTCCTCGGATCTCAGTTTTCAGGTGGATAATCTGACCGAGAATGGCTGTATGTATTGCCATTTATTTCTCCCAAAGAAGTAAAATTTTGCCCAGTGTGATGGCCCCGTAAGGTAATAGTGAATTTGAAGACCACATATGAATCAGACCACATGACCCAACCATACCTAAGTTACAGATCAGGGGGTGCTTCATAAAAGATTTTAAAATAAACCTTTTCCATGTCTCACCACCAGATTTACATTAAAAACATTCTGAAATATTGTAAAATTAACAATAAATAAAGATTACAGAGATACACAGTATCTTTACCAAGAAATACATACTGTACTGCACAGGGTGACTAAACTGACCTACCTAAAGCATTAATAAAAGCAGAAGTCACATATCAACTAAGGATTGTTTTATTTGGTATGGTTATCTGCCATCATTATGATTTTAACTCACAGCCTCCCTGGGGCATCACTACTCACAAGACCCTGACAATTTATAAACATTTTCATCCTTCTTTTCTGCAAGCAGCCTGTAATCTCATTTTACCTTTCTTCCCGACAAAGATTGGCATTTAAGACATAAAAACTACCAAGAGGTGAGCATCAATGGGCCGTCTTAACACTTACTCTTGGAATTTCATGGAGGAGATCAACAAAATGTTTACACATCATTGCTCTGGTTCAAGATACAACTTCCAAAAAATCTTTAACCCTTAAACAACAAAGACGTTGGATCAACCAACACACACACACACTGTATTGTTTCGTTGGAATCCCGTGAGATGGCTCTGCCAAGGTTTGTCATATGACAGCATTTATATACGTAATGCTTGGGAGATTCAACAAACCTGCAGTATTTTATTATTCATCTAAATATCTGGCTGAAGATAATAATTGACACCTTTAAGTACAATATCTACCATACCAACAATACACACCTGGAAATATCTGGCCTCTGTAAAGGCACTCAAACTGTGCTGGAAATTCAATAGATGGCACCAGTGTACAACAGCACATTTAATGCTGTACTTATGGCCACCACTTTACTACCTTCCATATAACACTGTACTGTATATGGAAGATAAGCCAACATCAATTGATGCTAGCTGTAGGGACGGTGGCCAACACAGTGATGTTTCATGTTTCTTGTGATCCAGTTTTTACATATATGGGGCAGATTAGGGATTCCTTAGCCACTTAGAAGGCCCACCAGTCATGAAATTCCTCATGGTTGGAGGTAAAACACACAACAAAACTCAAGGGTTTTTGATATTTTAATAAGACCAAAATATTTTATCATTTCATTTAACTTTGGAACTTATCATTACTGTATGAGAACCATGGTTACAGTACAACTCGGCCCACATCCAACTCGGACCATATCGGATAACCAACTCGGACCACTTAGGTTAACGAACTCGGGCTAAAAAGTAAAAGTTTATAAATTTTTGCACGAATGACGAAAGAACAATGATAAAAAGCAGCATAGATTGCAAAAGGAGAGGGGGGGGGGATTGATTTGTTAATATTTATCTTTTCATTCTATCTTATTAATTTACGTATTAATGTACAGTAGCTGAAACAACTATCTGTGCATGCTTTGTGGGAAACAATGAGACCATGGACGATAAATTTTGGTATATGAGGGCTGTCACTAGTCACACGTAAAATTTCAGAGGATATCGAATAACGACCCCCACCTGCACAGATAGTTGTTTTAGCTACTGTACATATGTGGAAGATGTGATCTTTTTTTTCTTTTATATATATATATAATTTTCTATTTAGTTCACAATTAAGATCACTTTACCTGGAAATCTGACACTGCCACCCTCACAAAATATGACAGTTGAGGATGACCTCATCATGAGATCTGAGGTTGACGAGTTCCACAACAATATAAATAATGAGATACTTAATGCACAAAGGCAGAACATACCATACAGGAAACTCAGATCAAATAAAAATGACCCCAAATGGATAAATAAGTACAGTATTTAAATATTATTATTGGCAAAATGAAGGCTATAGGTTGGAGAATAAATCGTGAAGTTTATCTCCGAGATCATTATAAGGTATTGGCCAGTAGGGTTAAGACCGAGATATGAAAAGCAGAGAAATAATGAACTGGAGGTAGCAAAGGAGGTCAAGTTAAACTCCAAGAGATTCTTTCAAATGTATCAAACTAAAACACAAGACAAGATTGGACCAATACCGGCGAGCTAACTGATAACAACGGAGAAATGAGCAATATCTGAACAGGTATTTTTCAAGTCTTCACCACCAAAAATTTCAACATAATTCCCGGGGCACCGAGTATATACAGAGATAGTGAAGAAAATAGATTAAGTGAGATAGTAGTGACTAGTAACGATGTTAGTAAGCAAATAGACAAACTAAAGCCTAATAAGTCACCAGGTCCCGATGAGATAGTTGCCAGAGTATTAAAGGAATGTAAGGAAGAGCTTAGTATGCCCTAAGCAAATTTGTTTAACATGTCATTAAAAACAGGTGTAGTGCCAAAATCCTGGAGGATAGCAAATGTGATACCGATTTTCAAGAAGGGGGATAGATCACTATCCTCTAACTACCGTCCATATCAATTTAACATCAATTATAGGCAAATTACCGGAAGCAATAATTTCAAACCCTACTCGAAATCACCTGGAGAAGCAAAAATTATGAATGTGAATCATAGTTCATTGATCAAGTTCTACTAACAAACGCATAAAATCCGTCCTTCGTACCGATTGAACCCTCAGTATTCACTCATTCACACTCTTCGTATTTCAGTGAACCAAAAGAGACATAAAACATATCTCTAACTCATTCCTGAACCTCTTGTCAGCTACTTGTCTGAAGCGTGCAAGATGGGCCGAGTTATTAATGCGTGGGCCGGGTTGATTATTTAAGATGGGCCAAGTGGGGGGTACACCAGAACCACTATCACTGGGGCTCCTTATGTGATGCTAGGGAAGTGACACAGAGGTTCAAGAGCAGCACTGTTAACGAGCAATTCTTTGTGATGCCTAATACTGTATTGGTGTTAGGTGTAATTAAATATAAAACATACCTTACTTCTGGGAATTTAATAGAGGAAATAACTTACACTATAGACACCATATATGTTACTGTATCTTAAATATACCTTAATAGTGGTGTTGGTGAGAGGTACTAACAGGAAAAATATCAATTTCCTGGAATTTAATGAAGAAACTAAAAATAATACATATAGACGTTATATACCTTCACACAATACTAATGAGACTTTAATACTATAATAAAATTCAAATCTTAAATAAGCTTTTACCGTATGTGTAGATCCCAGTGGTTGTGGTTGTTGTGAGGGTAACAGAAGAGAGAATAAAAATTAGTGTTAAGGTTGGTGGTGGGAGACGGTCCTCACTGGTGTGTTAACTACCTCAGTCGTCCCTCACAGTCATGGCTCCTTCAGTCTTCTCTCACTCACTTGTGTCATTCCGCGTCATTCCTCGCCCTCATTATCCAGATGATAATACAATGACACTATACCTTTCTTCACTACCAAGGTAAAACAACCTAACACCTATGTGCGCATGGAGGACGGACACGGGTAGTGGGGGAGACCATATAGGAAATGATATGGTAAACATTTATTTTTTATTATATTTAGTCATTAAAAGATTTATAATTGGTATAATTAAATAAAAAAAAATATTTTCAACATTAATTATCTGGGACATTAAGAGAATATTTGAGAAATTTGTGGTATATATATCGCCCCACTACCTGTGCTGTCTAGGAAATGATAAGGTCCCTAACGTTTATGTGATACAATTTACTCTCTCAAGATTTCACATAAAATATTAAATATATATTATTTCATGGTGATTAATTCAAGCTTTCATGTATTACGAAATATTAATTGCGTTACATATGGAGGTAACACTATTGTTCAAGTTATCCGCGCGCGCACTTTTTAAAATGCTCAAAAACCCACAACTTTACCTCGGCTCAGACCCATTAAGGAGATAATTAAGCCAAATTTCTAAGAAACAAATCCAAATTTATTATATCTATATTAATTATGACTATCACAATAAATAGATGGAGAACTTCAAAATTCAGCTGCATTTGGGAAACATATTTTTTCATGAATGAGAATAAATTTGTTCTAATTGCAGTAGCTTCGGTGCAAGTGAATTCTTTAAAATATACATATAATAAATCATAACTAATATAAATGTTTAACTAATTGTAAGAAAACTAGGTTCCATTAGTCGGAAATAATTATAGCTTCGTTGTCTGCCTGCGGGCCTTTGGGTTAAGGGGATCAAGTACAGACATTTTCTTCACTACCCAGTAATCCAGTATCTCGCTGTCCAGTGTGCTAATTTGTTTTATTTTTCATATAATTTGCCACTGGTGCGTTATATTATATTTTATTAAACGAAATTTTGTGATATAACAAAGCCACAGGATTAGATTTTTCTTAACAGCCACTGGTGATGACAATAGGGCTCTCAAAGCTTTTCCTTTCTCTTTATCTCCAGCCAAAACAACTAATTTCTGAACATCCAGTATAAAATCATAGTTAAATATATATGTACTAGAATTTACACGTTGTAGTTTGTTTTATTTTAAGTAAATAGATAGTGGATTACTGTATACTGTATGTGCTAATCTTCCTCTGCAGTGGTTGATAATACCGAAAATCTTGACCTGATATTACAAACTCATCATCAAATTCCTAATCAACATCCGAAAAGGGCAATAATTAAATCACTTGAATTATAAAGAGGTTTTATTTTATTAAACTATTACAATAATTATGATGATATTTAACATTTATTGTACAGGGGTGCTGAACTAGGATTGACTCGGTCTTCATCTTTTTTGTTCAACGTTCTCTTCCTTCGTCCTTCTCATTCAAATTCCTCTAATAAGCGAAACACAGCATCTTTTTCCCTGCTCTTATGTCCCTCTAACACCTGGAATAACGTCTCTTCCTTTCTTTTCTAATCTTATGGCCTGTAATTGTCGACTCCTCTTCCTTCTTTGAGTACACTAACACCAGCTGAGCCTAATTCCATTCAATGACATATGGCTCATTAACATATCAATCTTTCGCAGCAGCTTGACATTTTGCAGCCGACCCAGATGATATAGTTCTTTGTTGCACCTTTTCTATGGATGTTTGGTCTTTCTGGAGGTAGGGATCTTTGAGACGTGATGAGTTCTTTGTTGCTATTTTCTATGGATGTTTGGTGGAGGTTTTCCACAAAGTCATTCGCGTGAGTATTTAGAATCCCTAAGTTCACCCTTCAACATTCAAGGTACAACGTTGCTATAACATTGATTTTTTGGACACATACACACACACAAATTGGTTCTAACAATAATAACAAAAATAACAATAAATATTCTTTATTCTTAAATTGGCAAACAAACCAGATATGTATAATACAAGTCATACTGTATGTTTATATTTACAAACACTGTGCAATTTTGTTTTATATACACAGTACTTAATGAATAACATGAATCATACATTTACAGGTATTAAATAATGCTATATTTGCATATATATTAAATGAATGATACCAATATCTATTTACAGATATGTATAATTGTTGTGATAATATACAGTATAGTATAAACACAGGTAGAATGAATGATATATATCTGCAAACCTTATGTATTGCTGGGACAGTACGCAGTGAATAGGTGATTACATGAAGTTCCTGAGTACAATGAACCTGAAGCCAATATTCACATCCTCAAAGGTTCATAAGTTAATTTCTTACTTGTAACTGACACATCGATTTATTTTATGTATATAGTTGAAGTAAATTCTCCATTGAGGCCTCCATTTAGCAGAGTCAGATTAATGTGTTCTCACATCAGTAGACAGACACAGCGACACTTTTGGCGTGTTTTATGAAAACATCTTTGTGTCATGGCATAAATGAGTCGGTTACAGGTATTTTCATCACCCTTGAGGGTAATTTTTAGCATGTCAACCTTTGAGAACCTGGTCCTGGGCAACTGGTGATTGATGACTGGCGACTGATGACTGGTGGCTGGTGACTGATGTCTGGGCGGGCGAGGGCGTTGTTCCAAAGCGATATAGTAAACCTGCCAAACACAAGGGTTGATATTACTCTCAGTGCCACAACTGTTTTGGTAATAGTCATCTATTTCATCACTATTTTATTCTTAAATTATCTGTCAGTATAATCAACTTATATCAATTTTACAAATAAAAAAACAATTTACTAAACAATAGAGTAAGAATGGCAATAAATTCAATAATATGGCAACTCGGTTATTTAAAAAACAAAACAACCAGTCAATTTGTCCACAATGTAAGTTCCCAAGTTAGACAACACCAGAAGAATGTTAGAGGATAGTTATATACATGCATGAGGCGAGACATAAAGAATCATTAGATATAAATTCCTCACCTGAGTCAAGCCTTAAGACAAAAAAAAAACAACACAACATATACCTATCAGATTTTTACCTTAAATAAATGACATAACATTATTCTACCTTACCTAGAGGCATGCACTTAACAGTTAGCAGATATAATGAAGGAAGAGGATTTTTTTAAACGATTTTTTATACCTAAAGTGAACTTTTAACTGCTGATAAGTGAACGTATCTAGATCAGGTAATGTCGTTATTATTTATGTAACTTTTATATTATTTTCGTGCTTCAGGTTAAGTTCAGTTGTTAGATGGTTTGTTATGTATACAGTTGTGATGAATATTCAATGTATGGACCTTACATGTATTCTTATGTATACAGTTATGAGGATTGATTGATACGTTTATTGAGATACAAAAAAACAGTTATGAGGAAGATTCAATATATGGACCTTTGTGAGTTTTGACCCAGTGGACAAGAGTGAGGGCTGGGGGCATGATGTTCTGAGTAAGAATGACAGTGTTGAAAAGACGTGATGTTTCAGTGAATGAGTCATGTAGAATTAATGTATAATAGAATGACATTAGCCCCTAGCTTATTTCACCTGATGATTAACAAATGAAATAAACTTGGGGGGGCTAATGTTCACATGATCCGGAGACTGTACAAGCCTTGTTTGTGACGAATAACAAAATATAATGGCATAGTGTAGAGTGTAGTGTAGACCAGACTTATGGCAATATTGTGGTATAAATTATTACCGTATAGTGAGTGTATACAGTGTAGACCAGAGTTTGGAAGCATTATGACAAAGTATTACAGTGTAGAGTATATAGTTTAGACCACTCTTATGTTAGCATTGTGATATAAAGTATTAAACAGTATTTAACAAATGCTCACAGAGACCAGCTCCGGGAAGACCTGTAAATTCCCGACTGTGTCAAGTAATACTTACTGAAGTTATGTATTTGTTTGTGTAGAAACAATAGTGTATATGTGGTGTGTGTGTGTGTATTGGGGGTGATAAGACATGCTGCTGGCGGCTGATGTTAGGTTGTTGAACAGAGAGATACACCAGAAAGGTATCTTGAGGCTTCATGTCTTATGGGAACACCTTAACGGAACTCATCTTTCAGAGCAACAGGAGTTCATGACAGAAAATAACAGAAACGTCCGTACAGTACATACTTTAATTCCTGCCATTCTGCAACACGGCAGGTAAAGGCTTGCTTGAATGAAGAAGCATGTCTGTTACTGACAAAAATATATGATGCAATGAATATGACTAAGGCTGTAATCTACTGATAATGAATAAGGACACAAGAATCTGAAGAATACGGAAAGTCTTTATCAGGGCAGCAGAATACGTCAGGTTGTGAGGCGCTAAGCTGTTAATATGAACTTGAAATATGAGTCATAAATATATACAAAATTAGTGGCAAAGAAAATATTATTTTAAAGCAAATTATTAATTACATTGACTGAAGAATATAAAGAAGATGAAGCAAATTGAAATAGTTATTAGTAAGATGCATTTCCTATATTTTTCTGTACAAAATATCTGTATGATGTTCGCTGTACTTACAATGTTGGCATGCGATGTGAGTATATGTGGGGGAGGTGAGTGTTATGGTCAAGCGTCGCTGGAGGTTTGAGTGACTTTAAGAGGTATGCGTATGGGAGTTGCTTCCTCAAACACGTCCTCTTCATCCACACTCGGCAGTGACACCACACCGAAGTTTGCCAGCGACGACTTGCGTCTTCCACCCGCACCTATCTCAGTATCCAGTTCGAGTCCCTCATATTCTGATGACGCTGACGACGCGGAGCTCCGCCGCGTATCCACCTGACTGATGGAGTGCGCCAGACCCGGGTGTGCCGTAGCCCGACCAGCCGCAGGATCTGCTCGAGAATCAGTGGAATGAGAGCTTCTGATAGAGGAAAGCTGCGTTATGGTGGTGGCAACAGACATATTGCGACGTCCAGGACCTCGTACCTCAGATCCGCCAACAGAGGACTGGTGGTTACCGCAGGAGCTGTTGGCTTCCACCGATCGAGAGTTCGTCGACATGGAGTTCAGTCCGTACAGGGAACCCCCGAGGTTGCCGAGTGCCCGCTTTAGCTTGACGCGGTTCTCGGGCGTCAGCACCAGGATGAAGAAGATGCCCACCCCACGCAGCGAGTTGATGCAGGAGGGAAGATACCATAGGTAGTCATACCAAGACTCAGACGGTGTAATGATGTACTGAGCCACCACAAACCCGATTACTTCCATCAGCCACGTCGCCCCCGACCACACCACCAGCTTCACCGACTCTATCCATCTGTGGGAATGTTCAATGTTAGGATACCTAAGGTACAGGAACATTTACATTACTGAATATTACACCAGGGTGACTCATGTCTGTGTGTGCTTTGAGGATATAAAAATGCATGCGTGCATATTTCTACTTGTTTCTCAATACTTACCTGTTACTTTCTACACTTGTCTATCATAACTCTGTCACTATTTATAGTTACCTCTTCTGTGTTGGTTCATTCCACATACACACACACACACACATGGATGGGAAATAATACAATATATATATATATATATATATATATATATATATATATATATATATATATATATATATATATATATATATATATATATATATAAAATAAGGATTAGAACAATAGACGTGAGTAATTTCAGAATAAGATTACACTATACACAAACTAAGGTAGACAACTAATAAGTTGAAAATGAGCAAACGCACAGTTTGAGTTGCCATCATGAAATTTTATGGAGATTTGCTGAATAAATAATTTATTTTATTTCACCACTCGCCAGGTTACTTCCCGTTCGAGGTGTTGGTTTGTTCTTTATTGCCCAGTGTTAGTACGGAGGGAGACCGTAGTACCCGTAGGAGACCTGTGATGTTTGGTAGGGTGGTGCTGTATAACACCCTTCTCACATCTGTCTTCAGTTCTTGGGTGGCATAAAATTCCCTCTGATTGTACTGGAAGAAGATATATCCACCCTCAGCTACCCGAGAGATTAGAGCACCTGAAATTGCCTAGCTTATACTACAGACGGGCAAGGGGAGACCTAATTGAGACGTATAAGCATCTCAATGGGCACTACTCAGTTGAGTGCCCTTACCTGAAGATGGCGGACGCTCGCTCAACAAGGGGTCACAGCTCAAGGTTGAAGAAGCCACAGGCCCAGAAAACTGTGAGGGGTAACTTTTTCGGAGTGAGAGTTGTGAACTCTTGGAACAACCTGCCAGAGAGTGTTGTGACAGTACTGAGTGTGGGCTCTTTCAAGGCCAGACTTGACCAACACTGGAGCAGGTTCAGATACATTCAAGAGCCAGTGCATGGCCAGTACTTGCCAACAGTGCGTAACAGAGACGTGACCGACCTCCCAAGCGGCTAACGAGCCGATCAGTGGTGAAGAGGATAAAAGTAAAAAGTAACCCGAACCAAACTACGTATATTTGGTTTAAAAAAATTAATTAAGGCTCGGAGGGCAGTGTGGTGAAAAGATTAAGTAACCTGAATGTTTAAAAAATGCCCGAGTAGCTACCCAGCATGATGCAATATCTTACTAGCTCAGGTTAATTCAGGGTCTAGAGATATAGGTTAGATTAGTTTAGGTTATGTTAATGTCTATTAATAGTAGGTGCTGCAGATGGGAACTCACAAGTTACGGGTTTGGTGAGTACGGAGGCCAGAGGCTTGGGTGGTGGCAGGCTGGTGTTGGGAACTGTTGTTGTTGTTGCCGTTGTCGTCACTGTCCTTACTGGTGGTGCTATGAGGATCCTGGCTGTTCTCATTACCTGTACGGACACAACACAGCCATCACTCTACAGTATGTTGGGAACCTGTTGTAACCTAACCTGATCTAACCTAATAATCACCTAACATAATACTAACCTAACCTGACTTAACCTGTTAACCTGTTACTTAACCTGCTTTTAAGATCAACCTGACTAACCTAATAATCACCTAACATAATACTAACCTAACCTGATCTAACCTAATAATCACCTAACATAATACTAACCTAACCTGATCTAACCTAATAATCACCTAACATAATACTAACCTAACCTGATCTAACCTAATAATCACCTAACATAATACTACCCTAACCTGATCTAACCTAATAATCACCTAACATAATACTAACCTAACCTGATCTAACCTAATAATCACCTAACATAATACTAACCTAACCTGATCTAACCTAATCTAACCTCACCTATTGGCCTACAACTAAACTTAATCTAACCTAGTCTACTCTAACCTAATCTAATCTAACCTAACCTAACCCAATCCCTCCAGGTAGAGTTAGAACATTTAATTATCAGGTGTAATAAATTTAGAGGATGGTGTGGCAGGTGGAGGATGATGTGGTAGGTGGAGGAGGGTGTGGTAGGTGGAGGAAGGTGTGGTCGGTGGAGAAGGATGTGGTAGGTGGATGAGGGTGTAATAGGTGAAGGAGGATGTGGTTAAGAATAGGAGGGTGTGGTAGGTGGGGGAAGGAGTGGAGTAATAGTACTAGTTGGAGGAGGAGGGTGTGGTAGATGTGAAGTAACAGTAATAGGTGGAGTAGGTCGTATTAGAATTACCTGAAGGTCGTCCTCGAGGGCCGTGTTCGAGTCGTCTCAACTTGGCAGACCTGACGTAGCGTGCAACAGCCAGCAGCACGATGTTAGCGCACAGACTCAATAACATTGGGACATACAGGTACACCAACTTAGCGGTCCGATCTGTCAACAAACACCCAAGTTAATACACAGTTATATCAATCAGTTAGGTATATATAAACAAACCTCAGTGTAATGTATCTAGTTAAGGTAGAGTCTCAGTGTAGAGTGTAGGAAGGTAGAGAGTCTCAGTGTAGGGTGAAGGAAGGTAGAGTGTCAGTATAGAGCGTGGACTTACCGGAAAAGAAACACTTGTAGAGGCCAACTTTCGGGGTGATGACTCCGCAGGGTAGAGAGTATCTGTGGTAGTCGAGGATGAGGGAGAGGGCGGTGATCATCCCGGGTACACCCCAGGCCCATGCGGAGTGATACACGTACCTCCACCCCTCCGACGTACTCACTCGCCTGTAAACACAACACAGCCATGTAACACTATGTATAGAATTTACTACCATCACTGAGATTACTATTATATACTGTAACACTGTACACACACACACACATTACTAAAACATATCATAAGTTTTAGCCAGGGATACGACTTTCAGCCACTCCAACACCTTTAGTCACAATTCACAGATGTGTCTTCGGCATCAAGTGGGGCCTTTAGGAGTTGACATACGAGATATTATGAAATTAATGACATCACCATGATAATTCTGACAGCACCGAGCTACCCATCAAATAGAAGACCACAGTCGTATAAATCTGACACTAAGGCCCTGGAGTTTCTATATGATCCGGGTTCTAGTCTTATTGATAAAACTCTTAACCCCAGAGCATCGAGTTACTTGTTCCTAATTTCTCATATGTGTTCCTTATTTCCATGTGTGAAGTGAAGGGTCACGTATATACACTTAACCAGAGCGAGTATACTTACAGGGTGAGTAGTAGAGACTCGAGACAGATGGAGGTGTTCCACTGGAAGGCCGCCAGCAGGAAGAAGGTGAGGAGCCCGGCTGAGGGAGACACAAACACCAGGTCACTTCTCCACCTGTCCATTAATTCATCTATCCAGTTAGCTGTTTACCTATCCATTTATCTAATCATCTGTCTCCCTATCTAGTTATCCAATGATCTGTCTACCCATTCATTTATATGTCTACCTACCCATTTATCTAATTATCTTTCCACTCATCCATTTATCTGCTTGCCTATCTATGTGAGGGAGGAATGGTGTTATGCTGAGATATGGGACAAATACTTTAAGGAATACAGGTTGGATTTTCCTGGTAATTGGAGATGTAAAGAAGAGGGAGAGAGACTCACCCATAATATGACACTCAACATTGTCCTGCGCCACCTCCACCTTCATATTAACAGCCAGCAGCAGGAACCCCACCAGGTAAGACATGACGTAACTCAGTAGGATCCTTCCAGCCAGGGTGTTGACCTGTGAGGACAAAACAGAGGGTGTCAGGGGTCAAGTATTAGAAGGTCAGAGGGTGTCAGGGGTCAAGTATTAGATGGTCAGATGGTGTTATGGAATGCTAGTGAATGTTACTGGGTGTTAGTGAGTGTAACTGGGTGTTAGTAAGTGTTCCAGATGAGATGATTGATGAGTTATGGAACAATGTCGTCATCGACTTCGATGGACTGCCATAAGCAAAGTTAAGCAAGCAAGTAGTAAGTGTTAGTGGGTGTTAGAGTTGACAGTCAGGGGGTGGTTTACCTTCTTGACGGTGACGAGGCCCCTCCTGACACGTGTGGAGATGAGAGAGAAGGCGGTGGCCAGGAGAGCGGTGCAGGACAACCCCAGCAGCACCGCCGTCAGTTCGAATTTCTCACTGTGCACGTCGATGCCTTCCCAAGTCTCTGGACACACCAGCACGATGGGACGGATGTCTGGGCCGTGGACGCCATACTCTAGACAGTAGCTCTCACGAGGGAAGTGCTGCCTGCTGAGGACACATCTGCCCTCCAGACTCACCACCTCCAGCATCTGGCCAGCCACCAGCTCCCCGTGGTCGTCGAGGGCGTCAGGGTCGAGGTAGTAGTAATGGTAACCAAATCCAGACTCACACACAGGGAAGGACGTGTAAGTTAACTTGGTGATGTTGGCGGCACTCACCAGGCGGTCGTGTAGCAGTGAGACTCCCAAGTCGTCGGAGACACAGGTGTAGCTACCCATAGTCATGTATTGGTTGTGGGGACAACACTTACCTACACTCCCCGCCTCACTGGGTCGTGCTGACAGGTGTACAGGAACAATGTCATCCAGCTCAGTGTAACACATGAGGGCCACCGTCTGGGTCTGATTGAGGGGGTCGACGTAATCATCGACACAGTACTGCATCGTGGCGTAATTCTCCTCTGGTGTGTCTATTGAGAGATAGCCAGACTTACTGATCAACCAACGGATGTCTGTATCATCAGGAGTGATCCACTCCGTCACACACTGTTCACCTCCTTGTTCTGTAGGAAACCCGAACTGAGGTTCCATTATCTCCAGCAGCTGCATCATGTGGGCCGACACTTCCTTCCCCGAGGCCGGGACACAGCCAGACTCGGTGAGGACGTGATCGCGGGAACAACACTTGTGGAAAGAGTCGAGAGGACACACAAAGGCCACAGCCGTCATGGTCATGTCACCTTCTGCCCACAAGTGTTCCAAGCAGTAGACTGCGTTCGGGTAACAGTGTCCAGACTGATGTTCACACAGTTGGTTGGAGGCGTCGAGGAAGGCGTTGTCAGCCGTAACTAGCCTGGGAGCTCCTCTGCTACAGGAGAGTCTCCCGGTCTTAACGTGGATGGAGGTCACCTTGGGGTTGGTCTTGAAGAACTCTCGCACCAAACTGTCATGGTCACTCATGTTGGCAGACCTCAAGCGACATTCTTCAACCTCGTGATCGAAGTATTCATCCAGCTCACAGCACTTCCTGGTGTACACCTCGGTGGGCCAGGGGAGGCAGGAGGCTAACACGAACGCACCAGCATCTAGTTGGTACTGGCCATTAGCCGCCACCTCCAGACAGTAATGATCATGATCATAGTTTATGCCTGAGGTGTGATCCCTCACGTAACCTAAGTTTTGGACGGAGTGAGAGTCAAGACTTATTTCAGTAATACTGGGAGGGTCGCCAGTGCCTGGGCAAGGCGGGAGGGAGCCTGTGATGTACTCCAGATCCCCGGCGGTGTCCTCCGGCAGCATACTTAGCACCGCCTCTCTGAACCACGTGCCGTTCTCTGCTGTCTCACACTTCTGAGTCTGTAAGCTGAAGAACTCGAGGTGATCACAACACTTCCTCACTGGGGTCCTCACTTGGTGGTCATCTTCATCAGCCACAAAATTTTCTTGTTTATATTCATCTGAATCCGAACCTGTATGTATGTGACTGTCTGATTCTAACACAAAACTTTCCTCGTGTGTTGCAGCGTCATCCATCAGGATCTTATGTTCATATCTGTCTGCCGCTGTGTTAAGGTCGCTGGCAGACTCGGCTGACGATGAATTTTGGTAGTTGAGGCCCGCGGAGTTTCCCCCCGTGATGGCCTTGGCGATGTTCTCGACTGGTGCAAGTTCCGTCTGGTGTAGCGAGTCAACCGCCTCCGTGTCATTCCGTGGTGGAGCCGTGTCGTCTGAGGTTGTATTGTGTTCACTGTGGGCGAGCACTGTATGGTTAGTGTCAACCTTGTCCTCACTTGATACCTGACACAAAACACTTCTCTTCTTCACCTCGTGGTCGTCTCCAGACCGTCGAGTCGCATCTCCTGTTGTCTCGTTCTCCGTCTCTCCACTCTGGTGTCTTGAAGCATGAAGAGGTGAGATGTGTTGTGGTGGAGGTGTGGCTGCGTCATGCTGGCTGGCCACACCCTCCTCCAGGCACGAGGCCGGGAGGGCGTCGACGGGTTTGCTCCAGCACCCGGGCAGGGAGAGGCCGAGCACCACGACTACCAGGAGGGAGATAGATGGAGGTGACATAGTGAGGAGCGACACGCCTCACTTACCTCCCATACACCCACACACCTGTAGGGGAGAATAACACATTTTCATTAGTTGTTATAAGATGAGAGGTATACCTGACACACCCTCTACTTGTGTGTCACTTAGGTCCAGTCCTTATCGACCAAGCAATAAATAGTAGCACTGGCATGTAATCCTATTGGACGAACCTAACCATTAAGAGTTAAGACGAGTCCCAATGAGCCTGATACTTAATGGGTCTAATCCTAATGTTTAGTCAGGTTAGGTTAGGTTAGAGACTGTTTGGACTGAGCCTCCTTTATGACTCATAACTGTTGAGGGATAAAGACTTAACAGAACCATATACGAGTCGAGGCACAGTAAACAGTTTAATAATTACCATGTTTAATATTTACTTTAAGGGTCATAATTATAAGGTGTGTGTGTGTGTGTGTGTGTGTGTGTGTGTGTGTGTGTGTGTGTGTGTGTGTGTGTGTGTGTGTGATCAGCTGATTGTGAAAAAATGTAAACAAACTTGCCTCCCTCACACTTCCCGGGTCGACTGGATTTCCCCCCCGACCAGACAGACAGACACCTGCAGCACCAGCACCCCCCCCACCAGCCCTCCACAATACCAGCCCCCTATTACCCCCTGCCTGCACCCCCCTCACCCCCTGGCCTGCACCCACCCCCCCCACACACACAAGAGTAGTGGGATTTTTGTCTTTATCGAGGCGGATCTTTGATGAGTGTGAGAGAAGCTTCCTGTGGAGTCTCAGTGGCCTACCAGGTAAACACTCTTAACACAGGTAAACACTATCTAATACAGGTAAAACACTCTAACACAGGTAAACACTTTAACATGGTAAACTCTCTCTTAATACAGGTAAACACTCTAACACAGGTAAACACACTCTAACACAGGTAAAACACTTTAACACAGGTAAACACTCTAACACAGGTAAACATTTAACATAGTAAACACTCTCTTAACACAGGTAAACACTCTAACACAGGTAAACACTCTAACACAGGTAAACACTTAACACAGTAAACACTTTAACATGGTAAACACTCTAACACAGGTAAACACTTCTAACATATACAGGTAAACACTCTAACACAGGTAAACACTCTCTTAACACAGGTAAACACTCTCTTAACACAGGTAAACACTCTTAACACAGGTGGTAAACACTCTTGAATTGTTATAAACACTCTAACACAGGTAAACACTCTCTTAACACAGGTAAACACTCTAACACAGGTAAACACTATTCTAACACAGGAACACTCTAACACAGGTAAACACTCTTAACACAGGTAAACACTCTTAACACAGGTAAACACTCTTAACACAGGTAAACACTCTTAATACAGGTAAACACTCTTAACAAAGGTAAACACTCTTAACACAGGTAAACACTCTTAACACAGGTAAACACTCTCTTAACACAGGTAAACTCTCTTAACACAGGTAAACACTCTTAACACAGGTAAACACACTTAACACAGGTAAACACTCTTAACACAGGTAAACACTCTTAACACAGGTAAACACTCTCTTAACACAGGTAAACACTCTTAACACACAGGTAAACAATTTCCAATGTGCTGCAAACACTCTTAACACAGGTAAACACTCTTAACACAGGTAAACACTCTTAACACAGGTAAACACTCTTAACACAGGTAAACACTCTTAACACAGGTAAACACACTTAACACAGGTAAACTCTCTTAACACAGGTAAACACTCTTAACACAGGTAAACACTCTTAACACAGGTAAACACTCTTAACACAGGTAAACACTCTTAACACAGGTAAACACTCTCTTAACACAGGTAAACACTCTTAACACAGGTAAACACTCTTAACACAGGTAAACACTCTTAACACAGGTAAACACTCTTAACACAGGTAAACACTCTTAACACAGGTAAACACTCTTAACACAGGTAAACACTCTTAACACAGGTAAACACTCTTAACACAGGTAAACACTCTTAACACAGGTAAACACTCTTAACACAGGTAAACACTCTTAACACAGGTAAACACACTTAACACAGGTAAACTCTCTTAACACAGGTAAACACTCTTAACACAGGTAAACACTCTTAACACAGGTAAACACTCTTAACACAGGTAAACACTCTTAACACAGGTAAACACTCTCTTAACACAGGTAAACACTCTTAACACAGGTAAACACTCTTAACACAGGTAAACACTCTTAACACAGGTAAACACTCTTAACACAGGTAAACACTCTTAACACAGGTAAACACTCTTAATTACAATAGAAATTTCAATATGGTAAACACTTAACACAGGTAAAATGACTTAACACAGGTAAACACTCTTAACACAGGTAAACACTCTTAACACAGGTAAACACTCTTAACACAGGTAAACACTCTTAACACAGGTAAACACTCTTAACACAGGTAAACACTCTTAACACAGGTAAACTCTCTTAACACAGGTAAACACTCTTAACACAGGTAAACACTCTTAACACAGGTAAACACTCTCTTAACACAGGTAAACTCTCTTAACACAGGTAAACACTCTTAACACAGGTAAACACTCTTAACACAGGTAAACTCTCTTAACACAGGTAAACACTCTTAACACAGGTAAACACTCTTAACACAGGTAAACACTCTTAACACAGGTAAACACTCTTAACACAGGTAAACACTCTTAACACAGGTAAACACTCTTAACACAGGTAAACACTCTTAACACAGGTAAACACTCTTAACACAGGTAAACACTCTTAACACAGGTAACACAGGTAAACTCTTAACACAGGTAAACACTCTTAACACAGGTAAACACTCTTAACACAGGTAAACACTCTTAACACAGGTAAACACTCTTAACACAGGTAAACACTCTCTTAACACAGGTAAACACTCTTAACACAGGTAAACACTCTTAACACAGGTAAACACTCTTAACACAGGTAAACACTCTTAACACAGGTAAACACTCTTAACACAGGTAAACACTCTCTTAACACAGGTAAACACTCTTAACACAGGTAAACACTCTTAACACAGGTAAACACTCTTAACACAGGTAAACACTCTTAACACAGGTAAACACTCTTAACACAGGTAAACACTTTTAACACAGGTAAACACTCTTAACACAGGTAAACACTCTTAACACAGGTAAACACTCTTAACACAGGTAAACACTCTTAACACAGGTAAACACTCTTAACACAGGTAAACCCTAGACTAGTAATATGTTCTGAAATGTAATGGAGTGTTGACAGACCTTCTTCAAACCAATACAGTATTATCAAATTGACTCTTCTTAATGTTGGTGTTTGTCCAGGCACTCACTGGGGGGTAACTGAGGCGAGTGAGGCTACAGTAGGCCTCGCACGCACACACACTGGTCTCCATCACAGGTAAGTAGGTAACTCCCCGATTTAAACTGGTTCCTGGAGGGGAATTTTATAATAATGACACCTTTCGTTCATCGGTGAGTTTTTGTATGGGACACCTCTCTCCTTCCCGCCCTCCCCCACCCCCTCCCTCTCACCATCTCCCCTCACCCCCAACACACATACAGACACATCAGGTGAAATAAACTTTAAATTGATCCTAAATATTAATAGAAATATCACCCTAAATCATCTCTAAATCGCTAATCAAGTGTAAGTTTATTTTTTCTTCTGAGTGTTGAAAAGGCGTGGAAAATGTCATCCCTCTTGCGTTCGTCATTTGAATCCGACTTGGCAAGAGATAATGTTATTGGTAAAGTGGAAAGACATATTGACCTTGGAAAAACACACACACACGAGGCAATCTCCGGGTTCCTAATGCTAATGGCACCTACGTTGAACTGTCCACATTATTTACACTCAACAATATGTATTTGCCTGCTTGAGTTAAGACGTCGCACAAGAATTCCATCCTAAATTACAATGTACAGTCGCCTTCACTAGTGCGTTTACAGGGGCTCGTCATATAAACATTCCACACACATCATTACATTGAGATATTTGTTTTAATATTGTTTTAATTTGATTCCATAGTGTGTTTACTATTGTGAGTTTCCTTCTGTTAAATGTAAATAAACACAGGAATGCCACACTGCTCAAAACCTGACGAGCCCCTGTAAACGTACTAGTGAAGGAGACTGCATTTGCACTACCTTATTGGGATACCTACACTTAGCATTAGATAGAAGACGAAATCAGTACAGTTTTTTTTCTTCAAAGTTTTGTAGGATTCATCTGAAATTTAACATCTTCCCTGAGCTTATTTCACCTGATGATTAAACACTCTAATTTTACCTGGGAGGGTTAGTTTAGGTTAGTTTAGGTTAAAGTGGTTAACCTTAAGGTGAAATAGTTAAAGTGCTTATCTTCTCGTCATCCAATCATTGTGTCTCACGATCCCTGCCAAATGAGCGTATTTACTTCAGTGAGAATCCAAATGTGATCTTTTTTTTATTAAGTTAACTCAAGATAACCTGTTAAGAGTGCTCTAGTAACTCCCCTTACGACAAATATCAACTGTACGAACCTTTGTGAATGTTAAACGAGACTTTGCAAAATGTTATCTGGTCTGGCAACATTTGTTTTTTTTTTGAGGGTTGGGTTAGCTACTGCGTGCTGGTGAGAGCTTTAAGTCAACTTCACGTGACGTCATTACTGGCTGTATCAGGCTCATGACACACACACACACACACACACACACACACACACACACACACATACACTCTTGTCTCACAGTCAGGGTGGCAACTCAGTAATGTATGATTAATTTATGTATGAAATAAATAAATAGATAGATAGATAGACAAACATAATAAAAAAGCTGTTCCATCACCTGAAGATTCGACCCTCCCAGCGTATTTCACCTGAAGATTCGACTCTCCCAGCTTATTTCACCTGAAGATTCGACTCTCCCAGCTTATTTCACCTGAAGATTCGACCCTCCCAGCTTATTTCACCTGAAGATCCGACTCTCCCAGCTTATTTCACCTGAAGATTAACCACCCTAACATTACCCTGAGATACCGAGACACTGACATACTACGACTCTGACCCAATTCTGAGAGGTCAAAGGTCCCATATACTGATGTTTCATTTACTAGAGGAACTTTCTGTGACCTGCCTAATATGAAGTGGTGTGTGTGTGTGTGTGTGTGTGTGTGTGTGTGTGTGTGTGTGTGTGTGTGTGTGTGTGTGTGTGTGTGTGGTATTTCTACATGTTGTCTTACCGTAGCATTTTACTGTCACTTTCTACACGTCTCCTACCTCACCCTCGCTGCCATTACACACCTTTGTTCATCTCTAATCCTTGACCCATGGTAGAGAAAGGTAGAAGAGACACAAAGACAACTGAGAGATAAATAAATAAGGTTAAAGGTTAGAAACAACATGACCCACATTTGTTTTTAAATGCTAAGCTCCTTACCTGATCCAGAACTGACATGACCTTCTCCTCCTCCCCGAACACTGAACTGACATGACCTCCTCCCTCACACAGAACTGACATGACCTCCTCCCTCATAAGGATCTGACACGACCTCCTCCTCCTCCTCCTCCCCTCATGAAGACCTGACACTACCTCCTCCTCCTCCTCCTCCCCTCACAGAACTGACACGACCTCCTCCTCCTCCTCCCGAACACAGACCTGACACGACCTCCTCCTCCTCCTCCTCCCCTCATGAAGACCTGACACTACCTCCTCCTCCTCCTCCTCCCCTCACAGAACTGACACGACCTCCTCCTCCTCCTCCCTCCCCTCACACAGAACGACCTCCTCCTCCTCCTCCCCGAACACAGACCTGACACGACCTCCTCCTCCTCCCCGAACACAACTGACACGACCTCCTCCTCCTCCTCCCCTCACACAGACTGGACTGACACGACCTCCTCCTCCTCCCCTCACACAGATCTGGCACGACCTCCTCCTCCCCTCACACCGAACTGACACGACCTCCTCCTCCTCCCCTCACACCGAACCGACACGAGAAATACAGTTGTAGAAATATCCACACATGTTCACGCCTACACACACACACACACACACACACACACACCTACCAAATGTTTGTCTACACCAACAAGTAGACATCACTCCTCCCACTAACTGCTTTTTTGGTCACTTCCCCACTCAGGTCACTTACCCTGGCCCAGGTCAATAGTCCCCACAAACAGGTTCAAGTCTAAGTAAGTCACTCGTCCCATCAAACAGGTCCTTGTGCCCCGCCTTTTACACTAGTATCTGGGCACTGGTAGATTGGTTAATTTGATTAGGTTGGGTTAGACCACACCTGTCCATCACCACACCTGCCCATCACCACACCTGCCTATGATCAAACATTGTCTATAACCACACCTGCTTATAAACACTTGCACAATGACTACACCTGACCCATGACCCAGTGTTCCCAGGGGGCATTACCGGTGGTGTAGGTAGGTAGTCGACCTCGCACGGTGTTGAGACAGAACCCCCACATACACACGTCATAGTCCTTGTACACTTCCTGATGGTGTAAGTGTATGTGTGTGTGTGTGTGTTGTCTGGAGAGAGAGGTACAGGTAACTCATTGATTTATAAAGTGAATCGTAAGTAGGAAGTGAGAATAAAATGCCAATAAACCAAGAAGACATGTCCCCATATACTCGTTAACATCCTCAACTAACACACTGAAACGTCTGACCTGTTGTGATGTGTCGTTGTTTATAAAGGAAAGACAACTCTCCTCTTAGTGTGTGTCTTAATCAAGGTTTAAGGATATGAGACTCGACCTTGACCAACCAGGATCCTCGTACCGCCATGACACGACTAACCTTGACACGATTAACCTTGACACGACCAAAATGACACTAATCATTATGACACGTTGACCACTATGACTCTAATCACCATGACATTATTTGTGGGGGGGGGTTCATCCTCGAGTACTACCACACGTTTCAAGGACCTCCTCAAGTTTCAATATAATCGTCACAAGAGCTGAGATGAGAGGTGCTGAGGTGCTCCAGGAGTGAACTTAAAACTCCTGGGAGACACTACACACACACACACACACACACACACACACACACACACACACACACTACACACACACACACACACACACACACACACACACACACACACACACACACACACACACACACACACTAAACCAGATACTTCCTAGTTCTAAAGTGAATACCTGGTTTTTTCAGGTGTAGTGGGGCGGTAGAGGTGATGAATGACGGCAGGTGATGTGTAACTCAGGAATGGTTCTCACGCCACCTGACCCAAACAATAATCCCCTGGGATCTCTCACGCGCCGTACCAGTATAGCCTTGACCCCTGACCCCTGAATGCTGTATCCGCCAAGTTTTTATCATCGATGAAATATCTGGGAACCTAAAACCGGATTTGGAAGACACGTAAATAACACGTTCCCCGGGTCACCTATTGATTAACCTGACCTAACCTGACCTGACCTAACTCGAGGATAATCTTCAAATGATCTAAAATTCTTCTCTGGAGACGTGTGGACGTGTCTCACACAACTATGGCGACGGCATAGTACCAAGACTCTACCGGGATCTCTTAGTACACATCTTGGCCACCAGAGGGTAGGTAAGGGAAGGGTAGGTAAGGGTAGGGAAGGGTAGGATAGGGTAGGGAAGGGTAGGATAGGGTAGGGAAGGGTAGGGTACTGTATCTTGGCCTTCGTATTTCCCTCTCGGTTGTCAAAGATCATCCAGCCCAGTCATCTTCCGCGTACACACACACACACACACACACACACACCAAACACACACACACACACACCAAACACACACACACACACACCAAATAGGGTGGGTTTTTTTAATGGCTAACTAAATAATAATTATAATAACAACAACAATAAAAATAAAACAATAATTAATAATAATAGCAATACTACTACTACTAATCCTAATAATAATAATAATCACTAGCATCATCACTACTCTGTGTCAGTGGTCAGTTTAAGTGTGTGTGTGTGTGTGTGTGTGTGTGTGTGTGTGTGTGTGTGTGTGTATGTCGAGGCGCTGACACTGAGTACAAGAACTTAACACTTTGAATACAATGACTCAACCCCGTAAGTAAAATGGATTAATTCCTTGAGTACAATAACTTAACCAATTGAGTACAATGACTTAACCAATTAAATTCAGTGACTTAACGAAATGAGCACAATGACTTAACCTTTTGAGTACAATTTCTAAACCCCAAGAGTACAACGATTTAACCCCCCCTAGAGTACAGCAAACCACCACTTAAGTACAATGGCAATCCTTTGAGTACGACGTCTTAACTCACTGAATATCTATCTATCAATCAATCTATCTATCTATCTATCAATCTATCTATCACTTACGCATGGATCATTACTTACTGCGTTAGGTGGTGCTCGGTGTGGGTACCGTCGCCTACCTCCGTCGCCCACCTCTCTCTTACCCCTCAACAAGATGACAATAATAACACAATGATGAGTTACTGTAGTCGAGCTTGTGTAACACTGGCTTGGCTTGGCGTGGGGAGACTTGGAGCGGGGAGGCTTGACGAGGGGAGGCTTGGGGGGGGGTACAGTAGCGGCGAGTGGATCTGGTTCACCTTGCAGACGTCCACTAACACCACGCACTGTCTTAACACTTCCTCGGTAATGTGTCGCTCACCTTATTGATCACCACCCACTAGGTGCTCGTGTTAACACTAGTACTAATAACTCAAGTCAATATTCTGCTAATGTCCAAACAACACAACGGCAGTGGTGGGGTGTCAACAGGCGGTGTGCTGTGTGAAGTGTCCAAGGGTGAGTGAGGCTGTGGTGTGTGGAGGAGCGTGGCACACGAGCAGCCTTGCCACGACCAGATCCACGTGCTGACTGACTGCCTGTTGGCCCGTCCACGCTGCCTCCACCACCAGTGCCTCCCTCCCTACCACACCACTACCACCACCAGTGCCTCCCTCCCTACCACACTACTACCACCACCAGTGCCTCCCTCCCTACCACACTACTACCACCACCAGTGCCTCCCTCCCTACCACACTACTACCACCACCAGTGCCTCCTTCCCTACCACACTACTACCACCACCAGTGCCTCCCTCCCTACCACACTACTACCACCACCAGTGCCTCCCTCCCTACCACACTACTACCACCACCAGTGCCTCCCTCCCTACCACACTTCTACCACCACCAGTGCCTCCCTCCCTACCACACTACTACCACCACCAATGCAAAAAAATAAAATATAAGATCCTCCAACTCGGACTTCCCACCAACATTGAAAAGTTGCTTTGCAACTTTCTTGACGGCAGAAATGACGGATTGAGGGTAGGACAACACACAGGAGAGACCTTCCCACTCATGAGTGGAGTCCCTCAGGGGAGCGTCCTCTCCCCCACCCTATATATTATCTACACAAGTGACACTCCGCCTCCCACTAGAATTGGTAACGAAGATATTACGTATGCAGATGACATCACTCAAATAACAACACATGAAGGAAAATCGCGAGCGCTACAGGCCGACAACACCAGGCGGGAATTAGAAAGGGTAAATAATTACGAAAAACAATGGAAAATCCAAGCCAGTCTCCCGAAATTCACAGTGATTCCCTTATGCAGAAGGAAATCCCATCCATTAGTAACCAATAATGCCCAGATAGAATACAAAAGCAGAGGCAACCTCCTGGGCCTGCATATATCGACGACAGGTTACTCCCATCATGTCCACACCAGGAAGGAAAAAGCAAAAAGAGAGCTGATAAAACTATACCGCTTTAAAGCGCTTCCTGAGAAAATATAACTCCGCCTGGTGACATCATTTATCACACCGATTTTAGCTTACCCAGCAATACCTCTTCATACTATGAGCACCACTCAAATATTAAAATTACAGGTGGTGCAAAATGAGTCCCTAAGATTCGTCACAGGCGAAAGATACCCCAGGCACACAGTGTATGTAATGGCTCAGCGCTTTATCTGTGGCACCTAATCAAAATTCTATGTACCGACCTAAACAAACAATGTCCAGGAAATACTTTGTTGCACTCAATGGGGTCTGATAAACATCCTTTGTGGCCTCTATTCTGTAATCCTTTTTATGCTACCGCTCACAATACCAGTGACTCCCTACCACAAAACCAGTGCCTCCCTCCCTCCCTCCCTCCCTACCACAACACCAGTGCCTCCCTCCCTCCCTCCCTACCACAACACCAGTGCCTCCCTCCCTCCCTACCACACCACCAGTGCCATCCTTCCTACTTGCCAAGGTCGTAGGCATCCTGGTTGCGGGAAAGGATACCAATAAAGATAAACGCAGTATTCCCGGGAGCTTTTAGGATACTGATGTGGTAGGAGGAGGGGGCGGGGGGAAGAGAGATGGAAGGTAGTGAAGGAGGGGGAAGGGGAGAAGGGAAGGAAGGCTGGAGGAGGAAAGGAGAGAGTGAAGAGAAGGAGTGATGGGGAAGAGAGAAGGAAGGTAAGGAGAGAGGAAAGGGGAGAGGTAGTGAAGAGAAGAAGGTAGGAAAAGAAGGAAAGAGATGAAGGAGGGAAGGGGAGAAGGAGTGAGTGAAGGAAAGGAATGAGGAAGGGAAGGAGAGGGGGAAGGAAGGACTTAAGACACAAAATCTCGTTGTTAGTTATCAGAACATCAACCTTATCGCCATAACTTTCCGATATCTTAACTTTAACCACAGGATAATGGTAAGATATTGTTAAATTTACCCTCTGTAACATTAACCACTCAGTAACATTAACCACTCAGTAACATTAACCACTCAGTAACATCAACCACTCAGTAACATCAACCACCCAGTAACATTAACCACTCAGTAACATCAACCACTCAGTAACATCAACCACCCAGTAACATTAACCACTCAGTAACATCAACCACTCAGTAACATCAACCACCCAGTAACATTAACCACTCAGTAACATCAACCACTCAGTAACATCAACCACCCAGTAACATTAACCACTCAGTAACATCAACCACTCAGTAACATCAACCACCCAGTAACATTAACCACTCAGTAACATCAACCACTCAGTAACATCAACCACCCAGTAACATTAACCACTCAGTAACATCAACCACTCAGTAACATCAACCACCCAGTAACATTAACCACTCAGTAACATCAACCACTCAGTAACATCAACCACCCAGTAACATTAACCACTCAGTAACATCAACCACTCAGTAACATCAACCACCCAGTAACATTAACCACTCAGTAACATTAACCACTCAGTAACATTAACCACTCAGTAACATCAACCACTCAGTAACATTAACCACTCAGTAACATTAACCACTCAGTAACATTAACCACTCAGTAACATTAACCACTCAGTAACATTAACCACTCAGTAACATTAACCACTCAGTAACATTAACCACTCTGTAACATTAACCACTAGCAATATATTCAGGTATAGGAGTGAGTTAGCAAATGCCTCATATGGTCTGGTAATTTAAACGATCGTGTAGAAAGTGATCTAGTGAGGTGAGTGACGGAGTGACGCAGTAGTGATGGTAGTGAAAGACGGAGTGACGCAGTAGTTAGTGACGGAGTGACGAAAGTAGGAGTAGTAGTAGAAGCAGTAAGTAATAATTAGTAGTGGTGACACCATCATGCAGCTCTTGGCACACCAAGCCTCCACACACACGAATCCAGGGAAAAAAGACACGGAAAAAAACCTAACCTAACTTAACCTAACCTACGTGCAATGCCATCATATATATATATTGTGTTGTCAATGCGTACAAGTAATGTGACTTTTTTTCCTGTGGACTTTATTTCCGTCTACCACACACACACACACACACACACACACACACACACACACACACACACAAGAACATAAGAATGGGGGAAGCTGCAGCGGGTCTATTGGCTCATACTGGGTAGTCCCGTTTATACCCAACCCCTATTGCTCATATATCCATCCAACCTTTGTTTGAAGCTATCCAGCGTGTTCGAGTTAATGATGATATTTGGTAACTTGTTCCACTCAACCACTACCCTATTTCCAAGCCAGTGTTTACCTCTATCGAGCCTAAATCTAAATTTGTTTAATTTAAAACCATTGCTACGAGTTCGCTCCTGGTTGGATAGTTTGAGTACCTTTGTTATATCACCTTTGTTTAGCCCTGACTTCCATTTATACATCTCTATCATATCACCTCTCACTCTACGTCTCTCGAGGGAGTGCTTTAACCTGTCTCTCTGTACTCAAGGTTGCTAATACCCGGGGTTAGTCTGTTATCCTCCATACTAATCAACCAAACCAGGAAAAAAATTTATAATGCTCCACACCTACAAGATCCCCCCCATCGTGTTCACCTTCTACAACGACAGATCCTAAGAAGACACATCCAACCTCCTGCCAAAACCTGCTCACTCTAGGTGCCAGCCACGTGACCTTGTATGACCTTCACTCTTTGACCTTTCCTCTCCCATACCTCACAAACATTGACCCTTCCATTCTAACGGTAACGCTAACCTAACCTAACCCTCAGGTAGCATTGGCGTGTTTAATTCTCAGGTGAAATAAGTTAGAACAGTGAGAGGGAAGGGTGTTGGAGAGGTGAGAGGGACGGGTACTGGAGAGGTGAGAGGGACGGGTACTGGAGGTGGGAGGGACGGGTACTGGAGGTGAGAGGACGGGTACTGGAGGTGAGAGGGACGGGTACTGGAGAGGTGGGGACGGGTACTAGAGTAGGTGAGAGGGACGGGTACTGGAGGTGAGAGGACGGGTACTGGAGAGGTAGAGGGACGGGTACTGGAGAGGTGAGAGGGACGGGTACTGGAGAGGTGAGAGGGACGGGTACTGGAGGTGGGGAGGGACGGGTACTAGAGTGGTGAGAGGGACGGGTACTAGAGTAGTGGGGAGGACGGTACTGGAGAGAGTGAGAGGGATGGATACTAGAGTAGTGAGAGGGACGGGTCTAGAGTAGTAAGAGGGACGGGTACTGGAGTAGTAAGAGGGATTTACCAGTTTAAAAGTGAAAGGGGGAATAAATTTGGCAACGATTGATACGACGAATATCCGGTAGTGTGTAGGGGTCAGGTTAGGTTAGGTCGGGGTAGGTTAGGTTAGGTCGGGGTTAGGTTAAGTTGTGTAATCATAAAAACAACTTGTACCTTCGCATTTAAGGCAACTAAACACAAAATCTCTCTCTCTCTTTCCCTTACCACCTGTTACTCTCTCTCTCTCTCTCTCTCTCTCTCTTCCCTCCATCTTTCTCCCTTCGTTCTCTCTCTCTCAGCCTCCCATTTCAGACCTACCCAGTTTCCTTTCACTCACGTACTGTAGGTCTCCGAGCACTTACCTGACAACACTGACCTTTATGTGTGTGTGTGTGTGTGTGTAAACATTAGCCTACTACTACTACTACTACTACTACTACTACTACTACTACTACTACTAATAATAATAATAATAATAATAATAATAATAATAATAATAATAATAATAATCATCATCATCGTAACATCACAAGTGGCATCAACATTTTAATTTATATATAAGGAAAGGTCAGATGTCACTTACCATTCAGTTGATTCTCGACCACATGACGAGTAGGACCACAGTACCACACCACACCATACCACCACACCATACCACCACACTACAAGATGGCGTCGTTAACTGCACTGAGACTCTACCTTACCAAGAGTTTATTTTTAACTTAATTCTCATTGGTTGACTTAAGTTACACGATATATCAGATACAAGATGGAGTCACTATTGAACCAAGACTCGACCAGATGGGTTTGTATGTCAAGACAGTGGAGATTATCTAAGATTGGTTAGGTTAGGTTAGGTTAGGAGACAAAATTACCAAAGAATAG